AGAATGCATCCTTAGTTTCTGTACGTTCAACTTGTCTTGTTGCAAACATGTCTGTTAGTCCACCTATTGTATGGCGCTGCGGAATTTGTTGGTACATTTTCCATTGGTTAATTCACCCCCGAATATCCCAAGAGAAGAGGATTGAAAACAGACTGTGGCAGAGCATGTTTTGTTTGATACAATAGATTGTCTCATATTATTCACAAATAAACAATAGACACATCCAGTGTCATCACAAAATGTCTCATTGTTCAAAGTGACATAATTGTGTTACACATTATGAAATCTGTGAGTGATTTTTATATTTACACCCTGTTCCAAATTATTATGGAAATGATATTTTTCTCATTTACCTAAATAATTGATGTAAATAACAGTCAGCATAATTCTCATGTTATCAACTATTAAGAGTACAATTCAAATTTTATTGAACAAACCTCCTAATGATAACAGTATTTTTTTTAAACATAAAAAACTTACAATGCACTGTTCCAAATTATTACACACAGTAAGTTTCAAAACACTTTATAGGTTGTAAAGAACTGAATATTGTCATGTGTTGTGTTTGCAGCCTATTTACTGAAATCAAAAGCTATTTCAGTCAGACTTATAACAACATTTTAACTTTTTAAACATTTTAACAGGTCACGTTACATTTTAACATAGGACCCCTTATTTGATAGCATCTTCACAAGTCTTGCATTCATTGAACTTGTGAGTTTTTGGACAGTTTCTGCTTGAATTTGTTTGCAAGATGTCAGAATAGCCTCCCAGAGGTGCTGTTTGGATGTAAACTGCCTCCCACCCTCATAGATCTTTTGCTTGAGGATGCTCCAAAGGTTCTCAATAGGATTGAAGTCAGGGGAGTATGGAGGCCACACCATGACTTTCTCTCCTTTTATCCCCATAACAGCCATTGATGCAGAGGTATTCTTTGCATCAGGAGATGGTGCATTGTCATGCATGAAGATGATTTTATTAGGGAAAGCATAGTTCTTCCTTCTGTACCAGGGAAGAAAGTGGTCAGTCAGAAACTACACATACTTTTCAGAGGTCATCTTTACACCTTCGGGGACCCTAAAGGGGCCGACCAGCTCTCTTCCCATGATTCCGGCCTAAAACATGACTCCACCACCACCTTGCTGACGTTGCAGTCTTATTGGAACAGGGTGGATGTCCACCAACCATCCACTACTCCATCCATCTGGACCATCCAGGGTTGCACGGCACTCATAAGTGAACAGGACTGTTTGAAAATTAGTCTTCATGTATTTTTCTGCCCAACGCAGTCGTTTCTGTTTGTGAGCATTGGTTAGGGTGGCTGAATAGAAGTTTTATGCACCGTTGCAAGACTCTGGAGGACTCTACACTTTGATGTCCGTGGGACTCCAGAGGCACCAGCAGCTTCAAATATCTGTTTACTGCTGTATAATGGTATTTTAGCAGCTGCTCTCTTGATCCGATGCATGGATCTGGCAGAAATCTTCCTAAATGTGCCTTTATCTGCACAAACCCATCTGTGCTCTGAATCAGCCACAAATCTCTTAATAGTGCGATGATCACGCTTAAGTTTTCGTGAAATATCTAATGTTTTCATACCTCATCCAAGGCATTGAACTATTTCACTCTTTTCGGCAGCAGAGAGATCCTTTTTCTTCCCCATATTGCATGAAAATGGTGCCCTGCTTAATAATGTGGAACACCCTTCTTTAGTAGTTTTTCCTTAAATTGGGCTCACCTGGCAATCTAATTATCACAGGTGTCCGAGATTGTTTTCAGTGATCAAAAGAGCCCTGAGACACAATGCAATCCATAAGTTAAACTGAAAAACAAAATATTTAAATAGAATTTGCATATTTGTTTGGAACAGGGTGTATTGTTCATGGAATCGAGCAGATAATCCAAGTATCCTTTAATTATTTAACTGTAGATTTTTTTTTTGCACTGGTTCCTTAATTTGTTTATACATATTTTTTTTAGTGGGACCAATATTCTGTGCATAATAAATTTAGAAAGAAACCCTGTCCTGAACTGTAATGTAATTTACATCAAATTAGATGCTTCACCTTGTTTGACCTTTTCCGGTTTCTGTAGAAGAGAGTTTCCTGGGATCTAGTGGATGCAATGCTCCTTTTCCCACTACAGGGTCTCAATGTTTAAAAAACACATATTTAATATAGGTCATTCAGTTTTTTCCTTCTACATAACTATTAGCCTTTACTGCTAAATACACACGTTTACATTATATGCCACCATAGGCGTGCGCACAGGGTGTGATGGGTGTGCCTGGGCACACCCTAATCCCCGCGGCACGCCTATGGATTGAGACCGGCAGGGGAGATTTCAGGATCCCCCTGTCGGCTCATGCAGAGCCTGCGCTATCCGAGCGCTGGCTCTGCTCTAAGCCTCCTCTCACCAGCCAACAGGTAGGGAGGGAGGCAGGAGAGGACCCAGGGAGCTCTTGCCAGCAGCTCCGCCGGGTTCCTCTCGCGAGGTCTGAGCGTTGCCGCGGCAACGCTAAGACCTTGCGAGAGTGAACTCTAGCCCCAGGCTAGAGTTCACTCTCCACTGGACCACCAGGGATGGATGGCAGCAGCTACAGGATCCCCCCTCCCTACATTTACTAAACTGCCCACACAAAACACACACACAGCACCCCCACACATACAGCACACAAACAGCACCCCCCCACACACAGCATCTACACACATACAGCACACAAACAGCACCCACACACACACAGCACCCTTACACACACACACTAACAGCACCCCCCACACACACATCACACACACAGCACACACACCCACACACACACACAACAGCACCCTCACACCACACACCCTTACACACACACACTACACAGCACCCTCACACACACAGCACCCTTACACACACAGCACCCTCACACACACACACACAGCACCCCTCTCACGCGACACAACAGCACCTCACACACACACCCCTACACACACACCAACAGCACCCTCACACACACATCACCCTTACACACACACACTAACAGCACCCTCACACATACACACTAACAGCACCCTCACACTAACAGCACCCTCACACTAACCGCACCATCACACACAGCACCCTCACACACACAGCACCCTTACACATACACAAACATACAGCACCCTTACACAAACATACAGCACCCTTACACACACATACAGCGCCCTTACACACACAGTGCCTTCACACACACAGCGCCCTCACACACACACAACGCCTTCACACACACAGCGCCCTCACACACACACAACGCCTTCACACACACAGCGCCCTCACACACTCAACACCTTCACACACAGCGCCTTTAAACACACATCGCCCTCACACACACAACGCCTTCACACACACAGCACCCTTACACACACAGCGCCCCTACACACACAGTACCCACACACACACAGTAGTATATGTGTGTGTATGTGTATGTATGTATGTGTGTATATATATATATATATATATATATATATGTATACACACACGGCGTGTGTGTTTGTGCTTTAGGGTGCACACCCTTATACAATAGGCCTATGTATGCCACTTAGCCTTTTATATATCTTTACAAACTGAACGATCAAATTACATGTTGGTGATATACAAAAAACATTCTTCCTTCTTATTCAGAAGAGTATCTCTTCTTACCCCAAATGTTCTCTCAGATTAAAGTGCGTTTACATTACATCTCAATTACCCAGCTCAGTCCTTATTTTTTGATCTGATAGAACAATTTGTGCCATAACCTCATTCCTCTGCTCTCAATACTTGGCATTCTCTGATCGAGAACAGATTAAACAAAATGCCTTTATCATGTGATGTTTGCTTTGCTTTGAAACATTTAAACAGTCACATTAATATCGCTGGTAATTTTCCATGAGACTGGAAGATAATATCATATCATAGGGGTCAGTTACTGAGTTCCCTCTTGTATTTGTTATGTAAAATTTGCCCTGGTCAGTGAGTGGTTCAAGGACAACAAGTTGAATAGTCACTCACTCAGACTAGATATAAAAACTGTCTTAAACGGAACATTCGAGTGGTGTCATTGAAAAAGGTCTGCTGCTACAAAACTATATCCATTACTCATTTCCCATCCGATTGGTTCTTCAATGAAAGCTGATAATAAGTATGGAAGACCCCAATACTCTATTAACCAGGAGGGACCTGCTGTGCCCTTTCATCCCTCAAGCCATGCCTTGTCATTGTAAATATACTGTGCCATATGCCCTAAAAGCCAAAAGAAAGTTGCCAACTCCCATATGCAATGTGTCAAGGATCCTTGGAATCAGTGGCACATGATGGGACATTCAAGTTAAAGATTGTGCAGAGGCTCTCAATTCCCAGTAATATAAAACAATATTCTGCTAGCGATCTCTTTTCATTGTACTCCCACTCAAAAAGTAGAGTGGAAGAGGTGGCAATCTCCCTGGTCTAAACAGTTTACAACCCCCTACCCAAACAGATTGTAGCTAGGGCCCAACCCTTCACTTTCTTTAAAAGGGCTAGGGTGGGAGTGTTGCTAATAATGAAAACCAGGGAAAGCAAACAGATAATTGAACTTCGAATTTGTCACTGTAAGTATAATCTGTCAGAATATTTCCCATTAGCGTGATTAGCGACCAATTATCTTATTTTGGAAAAAAAAAATCAGGTTTCAAAGTGGAGACTGTGATATTGATTGGAACGAAAATTTCAGCTACAGGTGTGTTTTTTTCAGAGTAGGAGTTGTTTTGGTTCATCTGATAAACAAAACAACATAAGCCATCATCCTATTACAAAACTAACACCACCCACAATGATCCCGTTATGTAAGTCCTCCAGCTTTTATAAATGTAAGTACATGGCGTACTTATATTTAGAAAGAGGTACATTAACAATTTGTCAAACTATACATTGGTTCAAACATGGAATTAGCGGAGCTAGGGACCCTGATTCTTATATTGCTGATCTCATGCTTATTAATTTACTCGACTTGGGACAAAATGTATCGGAAGAGTAACCTACCCCCAGGACCAACTCCATTCCCTGTTATTGGAAATTTGCTTCAAATAAAACGAGGAGAGATGGTGAAGTCACTCATGATGGTGAGTATTGTCCGAAGTGTTCTATAGTATTGATAGCAGATGGGCTCTCATTACGATCTTCTGGAACAAATATATAAAATAGCAGTGGTAACACATTGTCCCTGTTAAATGGCATGGGATCTGTTAAAATCACTTACAGGTTCTATATCTTGTTCCAAGCAGTAGACAAAATAAAGGCTTAATAGTTAAATTTGCATTTTTTTCAGAAAAGGTGAAATGAAAGAAAAGTAAGTAGGTTATCTCTAGATATTTCTACTGTATTATATATTTGGCACATGTATTCTTCAAAGCGTTGTCTGTTTTGTTAGAATTGTATGCCTCCAGGGATTTATATACAAAACATGACTGCCATTGTGGTGGGTTCCAAAATGTTTCCAAAATCACCGAAGCCCTCATTTAATAATATTTAGATAAGCTTTTTAAATGGTTTAAAGGTACACTCCACACACCTAAAGCACTGTATCTTACTGAGTGCAATATGTGTGAACAGTACGTCCTAATTTCATTTTAAGAAAAGGGCAGATTTCAAATTGGAATTGACACTTCTATAATTTATTTTGTCAATCTTTATTTATTGCATGCGTAAAGATAACACAATGCTTGGTAAGCCACAACAGCTTCATCAAACATAAAGAAAACGTGGTACATAACAGTACTATGGCAATTACTTAAATCACACTTTTAAAATTTTGTAGTATGCTTCAAGATATGCGTCTGTTGGAAGAGTGTCACATTGTGCAAGCTAAGTATGCATGACTAATAGACCTGTTACAAGAAAAATCAAATAAATGTTATAGGCTGTTGGTGTCTGCCCTGTTGCGCTTGCCGCCAGATGCGGTTGGTAATATCATATAGGTGTAGAAGGCGGACACATGAGGGTTACATGCGTATATCCACCTCGGTGGCTCACATGTGGCAATTGAGTAATTATATATGCAAAGTAAAAACAAAATTATATATGCAAAGGAAAAACAAGATGTAAACCCAACTTATGTACAAGAAATGAAAATAAAATAATGGAAGATGGTACAAGAGAGAGTGAGGGCCATAAGGTAGTGACTGTAGGCTCCTGCAGCCTGTGGTGGTAACCTCGAGACCCTATAGTGCATACACACACAAACACACAGACTGCTGAGTCCATACACACAGACTGCTGAGTCCATACACACACACTGCTGAGTCCATACACACACACTGCTGAGTCCATACACACACAGACTGCTGAGTCCATACAGTGTGTGTGTATGGGGATAGCGTATGTGTGTAGAGTGTATGTGTATGGGGGGGGCAGAGTATGTGTATGGGGGCAGTGTGTGGGGCAATGTGTGTGTATGGGGGGCAGTGTGTGTGTATGGGAGGCAGTATGGGGGGCAATGTGTGTCTATGGGGAGCAGTATGGGGGGCAATGTGTGTGTATGGGGGGACTGTATGGGGGGCAGTGTGTGTGTGTGTATGGGGGGCAATGTGTGTGTATGGATATGTTGTGCATGGGGGCAGTGTGTGTGCATGGAGAGCAGTATGGGGCAATGTGTGTGTATGGGGGGACTGTATGGGGGGCAGTGTGTGTGTGCCCCAGTGGGGGGGCAGTGTGTGTGTATGGGGGGCAGTGTGTGTGTGTATGGGGGGGCGTGTGTGTGTATGGGGAGGCAGTGTGTGTGTATGGGGGCAGTATGGGGGCAGTGTGTGTATGGGGCAGTGTGTGTGTATGGGTGGGCAGGTGTGGGTATGGGGGGGCACCTGTGTATGGGGGCAGTATGGGGACAGTGTGTGTGTATATGGGAGGCTGTATGTGGGCAGTGTGTGTGTATGGGGGGGGGCAGTGTGTGTGTAAGGGTGGGCAATGTGTGTGTGTATTAGGGGCAGTGTGTGTATGGGAGGTGTGGGGGCAGTGTGTGGCATGGGGGCAGTGTGTGTGTGGGGGCAGTGTGTGTCTATGTGGGGCAGTATAGGGACAGTGTGTGTGTATGGGAGGCTGTATGGGGGCAGTGTGTGTCTATGGGGGCAGTATAGGGACAGTGTGTGTGTATGGGAGGCTGTGGCTGGGGGGCAGTGTGTGTGTGTATGGGAGGCTGCATGGGGGCAGTGTGTGTATGGGGGGCAGTGTGTGTGTGTATGGGCGGGCAATGTTTGTGTATGGGGGGGCAGTGTGTGTGTATGGGGGGCAAATGTGTGTGTATGGGGGGGGTTGTGCATGGGGACAGTGTGTGTGTATGGGAGGCTGCATGTGTGTGTATGGGAGGCCGTAAGGGGGGCAGTGTGTGTGTATGGGGGCAGCATGGGGCCAAGTGTGTGTGTATGGGGGGCAGTGTGTGTGCATGGGAGGCTGTGGCTGGGGGGCAGTGTGTGTGTATGGGGGCAGTGTGTGGGGGGAGGCAGTGTGTGTGGGGGGCAGTGTGTCTGCTGGGGGGGCAGTATAGGGACAGTGTGTGTGTGTATGAGGGTATGGGGGGCAAGTGTGTGTATAGGAGGCTGTATAGGGGGCAGTGTGTGTGTATGGGGGGGCAGTATGGGGGGCAGTGTGTGTCTATGGGGGGGCAGTATGGGGGCAGTGTGTGTGTATGGGATCTTCTGAAGCAGCATGGGCTGCTGCATTACGGCGGGGCGGGGCTTATCAGCGGGAGGTGGGGCTTCGTTTGGGGGCGGAGCCTGTGCCGGGGAGCCAATCAGTGCTCCCTCCAGCCACAGACCGCCCCCAGCACCTCAGCACTGCATTCCCTCCCCGGCTGTAACAGGCTGTTACAGTCCGAGGGAAGCCCATGGCCAGCAAGTTGACGGCACTTGGGGGGCCCAAGGGGGGGCACAGCATGATGTAGGGGGGGCCATGGCCCCCTCTGGCCACCCCCTAGCGACGCCACTGGCTTCAGGGCCCCCATGTCAGGCTTTGAATGTCTTTCCGGATGTCGGCCACATCAGCCTGGATATTCCACTTGAGGTCCGTCAGCAGTTCCTGCATGACCAACTTTATGATCGGAGTGGAGTCCGGTTGTGGCTTGGTCATTATCGGTATCAGTGAGGTAGGTGAGCGGGTTTCCTCAGCATCTGAGGACAGCGCATCAGAGTCCCCAAAGTAGTCCTCGATGAAGGAGGTCACATTGGGCTCCATAGCGCCATGTGCTCACCGCCAGAGATCTCCTATGCTTGCACATGGCCGTAGCTGTTCCGGCTTTTGCTTTTTTTTTTTCCTACCCATCTCGTTAAGGTTTTGTAAGGGGGCCCAGCTTGTCTCGCTATTTGGGGGTGGAAGTGGGTTTTTTGGTTATTTCTTTGCTTGGTGTAGCGGAGCACTGTCACTTCTATAATTTAACCTTGTGGAGCTAAACTCAGCAGGCAGCAACATTATATTAAAGCCCTAGTCAGAAAATTAGCTGATTTGGGAATTCTTTTAACCTCAATATTGTGTCTTATTTTTATTAAATAAAATGTTATATATTTATGTTTTAATTTTGCAAACAAGTTTGTTTTCCTTTTTCTTCTCCAGATTGGGGCCCAATATGGTCCTGTCTACACTTTGTACTTTGGGCCACGTCCTGTGGTTATTCTTTGTGGATACCAGGCTATTAAAGAAGCTCTCGTTGACCAAGGAGATGAATTCAGTGGCAGAGGGAAAATGTTTTCAGTGGACAAAATATTTGATGGTTTTGGTATGATATGTCACTGATATGTATGTGTTTAAAATCTTACAGTATAAAGGTGTCTGTATGTCTGGATGGAATATGGTGAATTCTTTGTTTTGTAGGTGTTGTTTTTAGCAATGGTGAGCGCTGGAAACAGCTCCGCCGGTTCTCCCTTATGACCTTAAGAAATTTTGGGATGGGGAAGAGAAGTATTGAGGAAAGAATCAAAGAGGAGGCTCTGTGCCTGGTGGAGAAACTTAAAAGTTATAAACGTATGTACCAAACATATTAACAACATATTTTTCCCAAGGGAAAAAAATCTTATAGGTTCAAATATAAGATCATCACAAATGATATTCACAATATTAAATTTTAAGAAATGTTTCTGGTAATATTGCTCAACATAAAATACCTCCCATCTTCAGGTCCATGGCTATAATTTGATATTCACATTTCCCTTCTCATCGTCTGCAGCTTCTGTATCTTGAACTCTTGAGATTTCTCTTGAGTTTCTTAGAATTTGTATTTAGAAAATAAGTAGACAATAGTAACTGATCACCTGCTCAATGCAACAAATTCCTTAGTGCAGTGTGCTTGAATCAATCTCACCCCCCCACCAGGTCACTATTCAGAATAGACACAAAATATGAATCACATTCATTTTATAGAGGAACTTTTTTTGTGTAAACATGCTTAGGTGTAATACTTCAGTAGATAGGGAAACAGAGATTGTGGGTATAACATGCTGTGGGAACTGACAGTATTGTGAGACATAGTGACAAACAACATGTGTGGTCTACATATTATTAGACAAACTGAGAGAGAAAACCAGGACTATAGTGAGGTCACTCAAGATTCAGGCTGGAAAAATGCCATTTCCTACCTCTTTTAGCAGCCTCAAACCTAGGCATGTCAAAGCTGTGTCGGCCACAGGGCGCCCCCTGTTCCATGGCGCCCTGTGCGGTCGCACAGCTCGCACACCCCTAAGGCCGGCCCTGGGTTTGCTTATGATGAAAAGTCAGAGCTAAAAGTCAGTATTTGCCAGACGTATGTGAGGAGCTCAGTCGAAGCACGTCTGTCCACCATGCTGGCCAGGCCCTGCACCCTAGAGGAACTTTTTTTCAACCACTAACTGTACTAGCTTTGGTGGCAGGAATTTCTGGGATTTAGAAATTTGGACCTTCATGTTGAAATCATAGTCTCTCTAGAAATTCCATTTTACTTTTTGTCTTAGTTGATTTAATAAAATTTTGTGTTCAATAAATATTTTAGTTTGTTTGCTTTAAATCTAAATCCATGTTTAATGAATCAATTTCATAGCATTGGCATGCATGTTCCACATACTGACAGGGACATCTTTCAAGCTCTATCCAACAGCTTGCAGAATTCATAAAAGTCCAAAAAATATGACAATCTTGCAACCTTATCACCAATACTAGAGGTCAAATTACAATTCCTTAATTAGTGTGATTTCACTTGAAAATGACTGACTAAACAAAGTGTACACCTGAATATATAGACATGAAAAGTATAAACTAATCAACTGTTATTCTCCTATGTTGCATTATACGAGGAGGTCCTTTTAATAACATGAATAATTTACCTGCAGAAGCTCCACTGGATCCGCGGAATATACTTACTCAAGCCGTTTCCAATGTTATCTGTTCAGTGGTCTTCGGGGAACGATTCGACTACAAGGACATGAAATTCTTAGCGTTGCTCAATATGTTTAATGAGACATTTCAGCTGTTAAGTTCTACATGTGCACAGGTAAATATCCAGCTCATTCAGTATATTGTATTACAGCTGTGCTCAAAAGTTTGCATACCCTTGGAGAATTGGTAATATAGATACCATTTTTAAAGAAAACATGAGTGAGCAGGGATTCCATGGGATTCATATTTAACTGTAGGTTATAACAGAATGGCACAATCATAAAACAAAACACGGCAGCAAAAATAAAAAAAATGAAATGTGCCTTGTTCAAAAGTCTGCATACCCTTAGTTCTTAATACAGTGTATTACCCCCTTTAGCATTCATGACAGAGTGACGTCTTTTGTAATAGTTGTCTATAGGTGTGGTATAGCTGTCTATTCGTCTTTGCAAAATGCCTTCAGGTCATGCAAAGTCTTTGGTCGTCTTGCATGAACTGCACGTTAGAGATCTCCCCAGAGGGGCTCGATGATATTAAGGTCAGAACATTCACCTTTTTCTGCTGTAAACACTTGGAGAGTCAACTTGGCCATGTGCTTAGAGTTATTGTCATGCTGAAAAGTCCAAGAGAGTCCCGTGCGCAGCCTTTGTGCAGAAGAATTCACATTATCTGCCAGTACTTTCTGATAACATGCTGCATTCATCTTGCCATCAATTTTTCACAAGATTCCCCGTGCCTTTAGAGCTCACAAACCCTCAAAACTTCAGTGAGCCACCACCATGCTTCACAGTGGGGATGGCATTCTTTTCACTATAGGCCTTGTTGACCCCTCTCCAAACATAGCGCTTATTGTTGTGACCATAAAGCTATATTTTGGTCTCGTCACTCCAAATGTGTGTCATAAGCTGTGTGGCGTGTCAAGGTGCTGTCGGGCGTATTTTCCTAAATATTCTTGTAGATTTGATGCATTTTCATTTAGCCCTTTAATGACTATATAGTGTATGCTATAATTACAATATTGTGTAATGTAAACATGGAATACCCAGTATTTTAAATCTCAGTTTAAGTGGAAAATTCATTTTTGGGGATCTTTAAAAGTCAGATTGCCAGGTTGCAATACACTATCATTGATCCTCCTTAGCCATTTTGAACGTTTATCAAATGAAAACATAAGAAGTTATGTAATTTGAATAAGCACAATAGAAGGCATCTCATTCTGAAACCATTGTCATTTTAAGTTACAGGAAATTATTCCAATGATCATGGATCATATTCCTGGACCTCATCAGAGAATAAATCCTATTATTAGAACTTTGCTGGACTTCGTATCCGAGAGAGTAAAAGCCAACCAGCAAACTTTGGACCCAACTTCACCCAGAGATTATATTGATTGCTTCATCATTAAAATGCAGCAGGTAAAGTCCAAATGCAGCACCCCATTCCCAAATAACTCTTTCCGTTAGAAATACACCTGTGATAATATATTGAAATGTTTCTGCAGTAGCTTTATATCATAGCAATAGACCTTTGTTTGGTTCTCAGGAAAACCAGAACCCAAATTCTGAATTCAACATGAAAAATCTGTTGATGACCGTCTTAAACTTGTTTTTTGCGGGGACGGAAACCGTCAGTACCACGTTAAGACATGGGTTTCTTGTTCTTATGAAATACCCTGGTGTACAAGGTGGGTAGATACCTAAACAAGTAAAGAAGAGAAGCACAAAAACACAATGTATAGTGTGATATGTAAAAATAAATAGTTTATTGGCAGATTGTAAAATGACTCATAAAGGATTAAAATGACCACAATATATTATTTACATTACACTACATAGCTCCTTCATGCCCTCCTTCCCGTAATGAATCTATTTTGGTCAAGAAATCTCCATCATTCTTTTTTTCCTAGAGGTGCCTCCATTATTAAGTATCAGCACAGAGCATTATTTTACTTCAGAAGATTTTGTTCTACAGTCATTTGTATTTTTTTTTGTTTGGTTGTTTGTTTGTTTCTCTTTACATTTTATGCCAGAGTTGTAAAAGTATATAATATGGACATTATCTGTGGAGCTTTGGTCATTCGGTCTGGACATGACTGGTTGCAGGAGAAGATCATATCAATATAATGCAGAGACTTCTAGTGAGATCTATGAGATGAATTGGGTCCATATTTAACAAAACACTTAATGGTTTATTGGCTAAAATCATAATTTAATATTATGGGTAAACTTTTATTCCCGTGAAATCTTTATTCAAAATTGAGAAATCTTTTGAAAAGATTACCCCCAAAATATTAATTTGAGGCCTAAAGTCAGAGTTAAAAGATGTGAAGGAGGTAAGGACTGCACCAAGGGCAAATAACAATAGTAAACAACAATAAAACAGACCAAAAGGTCTAAATAGTGATACAACAACAAGTCGGCCTATGCAAATAAGGAAAATGGTAAACAATAAAAAAAGTCTCGCTAAGACAACAGAATAAAATAGGGGTGTAATCCTCAGGAGTTGATCCGTCCGGATAGTAAAATAATTATACAAAAGTCTAACAAATATATCAGGATACAGTTGGGGTACAATCCTTAGGAGTTGATTCGTCAGGATGGTTTAAATATACGTATATGTGGAAAAACAAAGGGGAAATACGACAAGCAGCCGATAGTGTAATACAGACAAGATCCAGTGGTAAAATGGATAAAAGGAAGGTAATAAACTCACATTTGTGAGAGCTCTAACTAGCTCTGGAGTGAAAGGCGTATAGCAGTATAATCCCCTCTAGAAAATATAATGGAGAGGTGCGTCCGTCAATCTGGTCTGATTTTTCAATGCTCCAGGATATATAAAAAACAGCAATAGTGCTCTCAATATATAAAGGCTGAGTTATAAAATATATATATATAAAATATACTCACAAGTATAGAGCAGAAAGTACTGCTCTATTAACACAGCGTTGGTGGAATAATCCCCACCTAGGATTGCATGAGTACAGGATACAAAAAATGCCAGGGAGATTAATAATAAAAAGTGCATATAAAACACAATAAAAAGAGAATTGGTACAGGGGGTTAAGTAGCCCTTACCTCCTTCACATCTTTTATCTTGTTTTATAAGGTTCTTGAGGGATTCCCTTTTTTGGATTGCTGCCCTTCAGTTTGCTATCTAGCACTGACTCTTCCCCCCTCTTCTAAAGTCAGAGTTGTAGTAACTTGAAAACTGAAGCTATTGCAAGCTGTTTTAGATACCCCAAATGAAAATAAATGCTAAATTAATGCATGCATGTTTTCATTGGGGGAATATGTGCTAAGTTGTTAAAAATAAATGGGAGTGTTCTTTTAAAGAGGTCTTAGTCCCTAATTTACTTGTTATTTGAAGTGGAGTTCTGTGCTATTTGTCCCATCTCAACACAATAGGTTGCATACGGTGATTTTCTTTCAGAGAAGCTGCACAAAGAAATTGATCATGTAATTGGTCCAGACCGCAGCCCAACCATTGAGGATCGGAGTAAGATGCCATACATGGATGCAGTGATCCACGAAATCCAGAGATTCAGTGATGTTATCCCAATGAATGTGCCTCACACGGTGATAAAGGACACGAAATTCAGGGGATACACTATACCTAAGGTAAGTATCAAAATAGAAAATGATACATATTTTTCATATTAATATTTTTGAATATTCAAAAACATTAAGAGGGCTATTCTATTCTCTAATATAAGAATTTAAAGTAAATTCAAAGAGAATTTCAAATCTAAGGTCCAAGTAGCCAAACTGAAAGCATGGGTGACTTAGAGAATTTTTCCAATTTGGCTTTTATAACCTCAATTCACCTTAAATTCTCACTTTGCTGAATAACTCTACTAACCTCCTATGTAGCCTTCATGTTTCTGCCGTGCTTGTTTGTTTGTTTAAAGCATCTTGCCAACCCAGCTTTCAGTATGAGTAAGTAAATGATTACTTAAGTTTCAAAATCCAAATACACACTAAATTCCTTTGGCTGATGGCCCATGTACTTTCAAAATATGGGCCAAAATAATCAAGTTGGATTTTTTTATTTTGAACTCAACACAACGTGACTTACGCAACAGAATAAAATTAGGACCAGCATCAGCTATTACTATTTACTATTGAAATTGCACCTTGAATACAAAATGGTCATCCAATGTCTTCTTAGATCAACAAGCTGTACATAATACCTACTCTAACTATTAGAACCCTGACTATAACTATTTTGGGGTGAAAACAAAACTCAACATCCCAAAAATTTTTAAGATGTTTATTCAAAGTACAAATGATGAAACATCACCTTTAGGAAGAGAGTCACACAACTAAATTGTTCTGTAGAGAAACATTTTGCCTGCCCTATGTGGAAACCTCAATTCATCAAGTGTCAGTAGACACTTTGTAACTAAACTCTTCCATTACCCTAATTAATGTTATAGCACACCAATGCACATTTTCTGCTTCAATTTTATCTTTAAAGTCAAATATTGCACTGCATATCTTTACAGCTGAACGTTGTTAGTCTCTTGTCTAAAAATGATAAAATATTGCAACACTTGTCTACATAACAGTATCTATTCACCGTGTTTGAGGACGTTAAAATTGCGTGTTTATTGCACTAACATCAGGGAATTCTACATAATTATTAGATTTGTCTTTTTATGTTCAATGAGTTTAAATGTATTTAGTCATTACTGAAGTGATGTGATGTAGGTTTTTCATATAAATTTTGATTGATTTAATAAAGTTTCAATTAGCGTTTTTAATTTTTTTTTTTTTTATTGCATATTCTTACAGGGCACTGATGTATATCCCCTGCTGTGCTCCGTCCTCCGTGATCCCACCCAGTTTTCCACACCAGACAGGTTCAATCCTGAACATTTTCTGGATGATACAGGCTCATTTAAGAATACAGATGCTTTCATGCCATTTTCCACAGGTAGAAACAAAATAGATTTATTGTAGAGGAGACAGATTTAAAAGCAGGCCATTTGTCCTCAAGGTTGACCTATTTCTAATTATAAACACTTTATATTGTAGTTTAATTTGCCCAGGCTACATCCAGTCTTCTACTGCAAGAGATGCTGGGTGTTTATAGAAAATACAGACATTCAATCGAAGACCACTTCATTGGCTGGGAACTGTCAGCTGACACTCTCAGCCAATGAACACGGTCCCATGTCTCCCGGATTAACTCTGAGACTTCATAAACAGGAGCTGCAGCAATGGTCACCCTGTGAGACCCAGGTAAGTTGTCAAACAGTGGGACTATTTATATTGGAACAATACCCAGCACCACAAACACTAGAGCTAGTTGAAGTGGTTTTGGTACTGGGAGTGCTCCTTTTATAAACACAAGTAATGATCTCTACCTGTTGAAAAAGACTGTTTGTCAGAATCCCAGATTTGTGGAAGGGATCCTGACCCATTTAGGCTCACACTTCTCACTGCATTCCCCCAGATGTCTGTCTTCTGTTAGCCACCATTGTTTCTCACCCGTTAGCTCATGACTCATAACCCCTTCTTCTCTGTAACATCACTTACTCCTTTCTTGTCTTGTCTATCTGATCTTTTCTATTTATTTTTCTCTCCAGTCTACATGGTAGTCATGTTGCACAACAGTTTGTGTTACAGCTAACTTGTGCGCCCCATGTTACAATAGATGTAAATAATCCCCCATAAATGCACAAAATATCTTCATTGTCTGCAGGCCAGTGAGAGTACGCCATCTTAACCATTTTAAACAGATTATTCCTATTAGGTTCTGATTCTAATTTGGTAGAAGTGATACTGATCAAGATAAAAAGATGAGTATTGTGAAAAGGAGGCTGATCTGTAGTTTATGCTTGTTTTCAACTTGTGCTATTGAACTCAGCTCTGCTTGGTAAATAGCATGACTACTCAAAGCTGATGTGGTAGCTCAGTTGGTAAAATACCCTAATTACAAGCGTTTACTCAAACTGCAACATCACCAGTTCAAATCCCAATAGAGTCAACTCTGCCCTTTATCTTTCTGAGGTCAATAAATGAGTATCGTCAACTGGTTAATAATTACAACTATTATTTAGCTGCCAATTCTGTTGATTCCAAGTACTAATAAGTGTTTTGAGTCGCACTGGGAGAAAGATGCAATACAAATACTAGTGATCTTATTATCAAGTCAAAGTATCTTAATAATAATTACTCTGCTAATAGATCTATAACACAAGCGATATGTAACACAATAAACCACATGAAGATAAAAGGTTTTCAGGAAGAAAGGAGGAAGGTACCTCCAGGCACTTTAGAATTGTACTCTCAGCATTAACACATTAGACTCACATAGTCAATAAAGTGTTATAATTTATGAGTTGCATTTATTCCCTAAATCCAGGAATGTACAGGATTGATTGGTGTTTCTTCTCCTGATGTTATATTTTCAGATGTATTTTCTGAAGTTTTTCTATCAGACTAATATCTTTCCTTGTAAAAAAAATAAATAAAAAAAAATTACCTACTTTTCTTTTTTTGTAACTTGTATCGCATTGTATCACGTCATTGCTTCTTACTTTTTTTTACAATTTTAGGAAAGCGGATTTGCCTCGGAGAAGGCTTGGCTCGCATGGAACTGTTCCTGTTTTTGACTACCATATTACAAAGCTTCAAGCTCACATCGATGACACAGTTCACAGAGTCTGACATTGCTCCACAAATGACAGGATTTGCAAACTTCCCCATATTTTATGAAATGTTGTTTGTACCTCGTTAAATTTTGTTTTTTACTTAAAAAAAACAGTTCTTCCAAATAACATATAAATCAAAGAACTGTAGTTTGTTTTTAATACCTACCATTGTCTAACACTGTCTTGCAGTTACTACATTGATGGAAACATGCGCAGGAAGCACTGTATTTAAAATGTTTCACAATAATGCGAATTCCTGTTTATCAACCCATTAAGAAATGAGCCAATTGTACAAGTTGTGATAAAAAAAAAACGTAAACAAAACCTGGAATTTGTGTTAAATGTCTGTTCAACTGTAATTCAACTCTTTCATATTAAATGCACCCGCACTTATTATATAGCATTTTGTTCAGGGGAAATAGAGCTTCCATGTCACGTCCAATATTTATATATTAAACAATTTAATATGAATAAAATATAAATAACTGTGAGAAATTAAGAAATGTTTGGGTTTTTTAGTTCTGCATGGCATTTTAACTGTGACAGTCATGATACTGTTAGATGTTACTGCAATAAAGTACACGTATTTGTATTTAGCAATTTCTTACGAGTAAAACAGTACCCTCTATGTACAGGTTTTATGGTGTTTTGGAAAGTTACAGGGTCAAACATAGCATGTTACATTTTTCAGTATATACATATTGAAAAAACAGAAATGCAAGCCTTATATTTGACCCTGTAACTTTCCAAGACACTGTAAAACCTGTACATGGGGTTACTGATTTACTCGGAAGACCTCGCTGAATACAAGTATCAGTGTTTCAAAACAGTAAAACGTATCACAACAAATATATAGTCAGTGAAAGTACCATTTGTGTATGAAAAATGCAAAAAACGCACTTTCACTGACAAAATCAGTACTCCCCCATGTACAGGTTTTATGGTGAAAGTTACAGGGTTAAATATAGGGCTTGCAAGCCAAATTATCTGGACTTTCAGCTTGGGTTGTCAGGCAAGTCCCTCAAATTGTAATTAATTATATGACTTAACACACACACACACACACACAAACCACAATCCCAGCACTCAAGTTCCCTGGTCTTTAGAATGCCCCAGACAAATGCACTCTGTAGAGGTCTGTAGAAAGTATAGATGCTTTTATTCAGCACAAATCATACATCAAAGTTTCAGTCCCACCGGACTTTTCTCAAGACAAAGTGCTAGGTGCAGAACAGCGGTTATAAGCACAAACAGTGAGCTAATTAGAGGGTGAAAGCAGGTAAAAAGTGAGGCAAGTGATGTCAGAGATGACGTATCACTGTGCAAAATACATCATACCATAAATGGCTACCAGGTTGAAAGAAAGCCTAGATCCATAATGGTCTGTGAGGGATAGACTGTAGCGGAGAGATGCTCTTACACAGCTTATCTCCACTTTAGATCCCAGTAAGGCTCAGGAACAAGTATTACAAATCCAGAAGGTAATATTTCCAGCAGGCAAAACACTCCAACAATATCCCAACCTCAATCCCAGGCTTCTCCCATGCAAGGGAGGGATTTACAATAATTGGGACAGTAGCCAATAGTACAGTAGTTACCTCCCATACATCTCCTCCCCTCAGTGTGACACTTAATCCACTTATCTCTGTTACAGTTTTACCCGGTTTCTGGATGTACCCTAAAACTGTGGGGTACAATGGTCTAAGTGGTACCCCCTGGTAACCCTGATCTGGGTGGCTAACATACTTAAAATTCACCCAGATCGGACCAGGGGTTCGGGAGTTATATGGGAGAAACAATTTGACCGACCGCACACGAGGTGGTACCCGAAAAGGGTTCCATGTATTTTGGCCCTGCGGTCGGTCTCAGTTCGGGAGATAAAACATACATAAACCTTTGCCATCCACTATTAAAAATGCATTCGTATGAATCCCCTTGTTCGGTACGTTGAATTCACCGAACGAGGGGCTAATTGGCCCCTCCGTTCGGGAGTTACGGAGCTCTGGAGCGGTGTTCGGGTAATCGAGTGTCCAATTTGAGTTCCAGACACTCAACGACCAAACACCTCTGAGGGTTCGTGCATAAGATGGCCACCGCCACGTGTTCGCTTACCGAATGTCGGCCACCCAGATACAGCAATAAAGTACCGATTGACTTGTGGTTAGAGAAGAGTGAAAGCCTAATAAGGTACACACTTCTCTCTGGGGTGGTCTACTGGTTCGGTAGTTTTCATTCGTATGGAATACGGATGAAAACTACTGAACAAGCATCCGAATCCTACATACAATTTTAATTATACAGGAAAATAGACACACAAATTGTCTTTTAAACATAACCCTTGAGGACAGTCCAGTGCCATCCGCTACATAGACAAAATAATAAATGTGACATAGACTAAAGCCCTTGTGAATGTGGAGAAGAATAATAACACAGACCAGGAAACTAAGAAAGAAAAGTAAAGAAGAAATTAAAAAGTGCAAAATGCTCCGTGCAAAAAAGAAAATATCCCATGCAAAAAAGGAAAATAAAGGGAGTATATACATTATGACAGTACAGGACCCTGAGATGCACATGAAAGATTCTCACATATATAGCAGAATAACAAGTCTGGACAATATAACAATATTGCACCGCAGTTTCATAGGTCATATTCAATGTTGCAAATGGAGAGTAACGTGTTGAGCGCAACATAGTATCATAAAAGTAAGTATTGAGTCAATATAGGGCAAACAGATCCTGCTGACAATAGTTAGCATCTGATAAAGTTTGGGGGTGGCAAAAGCAGGGTGAAGAAGAGATTTAAAGGTCCAATAAGCTTCTCTCTGTAATAGGAAGGCATCCCTCTCACCTCCTCTGGGTGATAATGGGACATGATCAATCCCCATGAAACGTAGCCTGGGCAGTGAATGTCCAGTTTCAAGGAAATGTCGTGCTACTGGGGTATTGGCAGATCTACGGTTCAAAGCGTTTTGTATAGATGAACGGTGTGCTCGCATTCTCTCCCTAAGATCATTTGAAGTCTTGCCAATGTATACAAGCCCACAGGGCCAGGTTGTATGATACACAATATGTGTTGTGGTACAAGTAATGCAGTGTTTAATGTAAAACACTTTCCCTGTATGGGGGTGGCAGATAGTCTGACCCGTAATCATGGAATTGCAGGCCATACAACCAAGGCTTCGAAAGCATCCTCTTGTAGTAGGAGATTTCTCCTGTTGTATAAGGTTGTGCTGGTCGGTGTGCATTAGAATGTCACAGAAGTTTTAGCCCCTTCTGTAGCTCATAATAGGAATGTTGTGGAAGACCTTTGGAAGTGAAGGGTCTTTTCTTAAAACATCCCAATTGTCACGTATCACAGATGTTATCTCTGGAGTTAGGGTATGGAAAGCTGTAGGGAAGATGAGTTGATCTTCTGTGGTATCTTGAACCACTTCAGCTTAATGTAATGGCTCTGGTGTCTATAGCCTGTCCCTGCAGGCCTTTTAATGTAAACACGGCGCACTGCAGCACTGGTGTTAGTTAACATGGCAAATCATATGAGTGGGGCATTGTGATGTCACATGGGGGCGGGGGGCAGCAAACTTTACTTTTGCCTAGGGCGGCTAAAATCCTTGCACCGGCCCTGGCTGGAGGGGGCTGTGTGAGCTGTGGCCGCACAGTGTCCCATGGTAGTTAGGGTGCCGTGCGGCCAGTACAGCTCACACAAGCAAACAGATGATAAACTGGCCGCACGGAGGAAATGTGTATGTGTGACTGTCTGCCTGTGACTGTGTGTGACTGTCTGCCTGTAACTAAGTGTGACTGTCTGTCTGTAACTGAGTGTGTGACTGTCTGCCTGTAAGTGTGTGTGTGGGGCTGCAGGGATTTTGTAGAAGGGGGCGGGGGTTTTGTATTGGGACAGGAGTCTTTATAAGGGTGGATAAGCAGGGGATTTGTGGAAGGGGGTTGCGGGGGTTTTGTAGGAGGGGCTGACAGCGGTTTTGCAAAGTTTACAAATTGTAAAAAAAAAAGAAAGAAACCCTTTAAAAAAAAAATTCAGTTTTTTTTTTTGGGGGGTGGGGGGGTGCCAAGCACAGGATCCGCCCCGGGTGCCAAATGCTCTAGGTACGCCCCTGGGTCGGACTCTTCTGTTATCTAACCAACTGCTGCTTGACCTAACTTACCGGCTGCTGTGATTGCTCTGTTATGTAACCGCAGGAGCCACAAGTAAGGCTGAGAAGCAATTGGTCAGATAACTAGAGTCTGACCCAAAAAGTGAAATGTTCTCAAAAAAAGTCAATATGCATAATTTAATGCAATCCTTATGTCTCACTAAATAGAAGTGAAATGATGACAGTTGTCCTATAACATGGGATGTAAAAATACTAATTGCTAAGTTTACCGTTTAAACATTAGGTCCCCCCATTTATAGGGCACGGGTAGGTGCATGGGGGGTACTATGTCTTCCCCATTTTAGTTATTTGTGTTCCCTACCCCTTATTGCATTAGTGACTGGGCAGTCACTAGTAGTTTTAAATTTGTTTAGGTGAGTAGGGGCATGTGGGAGGATTTAACCTCCCTTTTATTAATATGGGGGTCATAGTAACCCCCATAGGTTTTAATGGGTGTGGGGTAGGATTTAATATTACAAGGAGGGAGCTGGTAGCTCCCTCCTTTTTTTGTGTTTTTTTTTTCCTGCATGCGCGTGTTATTTCTCTATGCTCAGAGTCTATTAAATGAACGAAACGAAAAGGTAATGCATTCGGCATTTGCCCTTTCGTTTCATTTATATTTCGTATGTAGGGCTTTCGTTTACGTTTTAGTAAACGAATACGAAAAAAATAGAATTTTCTGACAATATTTATTTATAAAATATTTTACCAGGAAAGATACATTGAGATTTCTCTCGTTTTCAAGTATGTCCTGCGTCCACAAATCATTGCATTGTTACATTAGGTACAACAAAATACAAAAACAATATTAATACACAATATATACAAAATTTAACATAGAACAGGCAGGAAATATATAATCAACCATGACACGTGCATTCTGTTTTGAGGTATGTAGAGAGGGATCTCTTAAATATTGTATTCATATGAAAACAAATGCACATGTCTGTATTTTACATAGATTGAGGTCTTTGTGACAGCACCTCTATTAAAATGTACGTTCTTGGTGTACTCTCCAACTCTCCTACTCTTTTTTCTATATATATTTGAAGTCCTGCCCTGATTCCTTGAACACCCCACCAGTCCACTCCTCGGGGTCTCTTTGTGACCACATGGAAAGTATGCATTTGAGGAGACCATCCTAAAACAGTTTGAGCAGTAAGTATTGTAAGTAGTAATTTATCTCCCATGTCAAAATTAGTGCTTCCACACTAAATGTATGTCCAGCAAAAATTGCAGAACCGAACCCCGGAAGTCCCTCTAGTGACTGTGTGAGTGATAGCCACTAGAGGCATTACTAGGCAGCAAAAGGCACTGTTTATATTTCTGAGTCTGCAGGGACAGGCTATATACATCAGAACCACTACATTCAGCTGTCTTTAAATTTGAAATTCACTTTGAATCCCTCAAATTCTCACTTCAGTAAATGAACTGTAAATGTTCACATGGTTTAGTTAGATCCTCACGACTTCGTTAAGACAGATAGCGCCCTTGGATGTTTCAAACATTATTGCATATTGTCCTCTTAATGTGCATACATTGCATAAATTTAGATCTTTATAACAGTACCACTATGAGGACATTGATATTCTGGGTGTTCCCCCAATTTCTCTTTTTACCACATTTTATTTGACAGATGGTATTTATGCACATTCTGTTTCTATTTCATCCAGTTAACCTTGCCTTAACCCAGCTGATTGCAAAGCAGAGCTTCGATCTGGTTTTTATATTACCATTAAGATGTTGTGTGCCTGATAATCTATTGATGAGTGCTCCAAACACACACACATTTTACAATCAGTTCTAAATGTACATGTTTACATAGTTGTCATTCTAGCTTTGTTAAACAATATTGAATAAAGATAACATTTTATCTAATTTTCGTAGATCTGTTGGAATGTTTTACTTTGAAAATTTCTCGAGCATTAAACCAGTTTTCATATAAACCTGAAGATTGAACTCTATAGACTTGTATCTGTGTAAATGTCCAGGAGCCCATGATCTGCAATTTGAAGCCCCTTTCATGAATAGATTGTAAGCTTGCAGGCTGCTCCTAGCAAACCTTGGGATCAAGTTGTTTTTTTTTGGTTAACTGTTTGATGGGCTGTTTGGCAGCTTTATAGATTTCCGTTAATACAGTGCTCACGTTGTTTATACCTTTAAAGTTTTCAAATAAAAAGGGATCAAAACTATGGATTTTGTGTTTGGGGGCTTTTTCTTCCATTTCCCCTTGTGAGTTACTCGATGAAATGTTCATTGATATTTGAAATTGATTATTTGGCAATAATGAAGAAGCAGCTGGCGTATATTTGGAAAAAAGATATTTTTTTGGGAATTTGATGGACAGTCTTTCTCAAGCCTCTGCTTTAAGACCACAGTAAAAAAATACCATAAAACAAATAAACATGAAAATAAGGCGAGTTTTAACCCATTCTGAGAGGGCTAAGGTGGGGGGGCAAACCACCTAAATGGTGGGTTTTCACTGTAGCATCGGGTGTACATGTTTGTGTTCCTGACCCTATAGTGATCCTTTAAATAAATTGATAGGTACAGTTGTTTACCATGATCTCTTCTGGGTTAAACCGAGCTTTACAGCTTTACAAAAAAAACAAAAAAGAGAAACACGAGCTAGATCTTACACTCTTAGTAGGCGATAACCCTGAAACATGAACTTTATACAAACTAATAGGATTGGAAAGTCGTACGGGGTAATTATAAGATTCAAAATTAACTTTTATTAATACATAATTAAAATAATAAAAGGTCCGCAATGTAAACAATAAGTACATTACACGCAATAAAAAGGGCTAGGTAGAGGGAAGGAGGATATCACCTAAATAGTGAGAGATTATACCAATTACAACCATGAAATAGGATTGCCTCCAAAGTCTGAATGCTCATAGATTCATAATCAAGATTAGAGTGCAAAACGTCCTGCTATGAAAATAAATGATTCTAGATACACACGTAACGGTGATGGTAGTTAGATGTATTACCCTTATAGAGATTACCTAGAAAATAAATCTAATAGAAAAGAAATAGAAAAACAAAAACAATTGGCCAAAAATGGGAAAGGGGGCTATCCCCTAAATACTCATTTGGATAAAAGTCTAAACCATTTTGCCGTATGGTAAGTTTTAGTGTCAGTTAATGCGTGTAACTTAGCTAACAGGTACACATACAAAGATTATATGGTCTTATAGAAACACATCATGACTCCATATTATATCAAATATAGTAACATATGGAAAAATATAAAAATTCTTTGCGATACTAAATACAGATTTAAAAAATGTTTGCGGTTAAAACGACAAAATATCGAGTAGGTGTATAACTCAGCCGAACCACTTGCAATAAGTCAAGTTTGAGTTGCAACAATGTCTACATTTGTATGGCTGTAGAAAAATAGTGAACTACTGTCTGCATAAAATAAACTTTTAGTTTGTATAATTTACAGCTTTAACCACTTAGTACAAAATGTACTTTTAAAGAGTTATTGACTGTTTGGAGAGCATCCAACAGTGAAGGATATAAAATAAGCAGCAACATTCTTTGTCCCGTAAACATGGACTTCACCTGGTTTGTAACCTCTCTCCTGGCCATGCTGGTCTCATGCCTTCTCCTCTACTCAGCATGGGATAAAGTGTATCGAAAACGGAACCTACCCCCAGGTCCCACTCCACTTCCTCTGGTGGGAAATATTTTTCATGTGCAAAGAGGAGAAATGGTGAAATCGTTATTAGAGGTAATACTTGAAACTGAGGGTAGTATTAAATAAAAACTTTGGTCTTACATTTAAAATGCACTTTAGATTCTTACTTAAGTAAATCATTCTGTTTATATTTCAAGTTAAGACAGTTTCATGAATAGTTGTTGGGACAGGGCGCACCCAAGAGGTTTGCCTTTATGTTGGCAGATGTACTTATCTTGAGTTCTGGTTAATGCATATTTTTTGTTTTGTTTTATAGATACATTTTGGAATTTTTGCAGAAGCAGAATTATTCTGGTTCATTTCGTTTTCTTGATTTAACATACAGGCAGTGATGAAAAAGACAAATAATGTTATAACCATAAAGAATAGGTGAGAAAGGTTTACAATCGTCAGGTTTTCAAAAAATATTGAAGTGCAGAAATAAAAAAAAAAAGTAATCTCACTGAGGTATTATTTAGTAGCCAATAATGTGTTAAACAATATATTTATATATAGGTGCAGATTTGCCAGAATTTATTATATATATAATAAATTCTGATGAAAAAATGGCAAATCTGCACCTTTAAAGAATATAATTCACATTTATGGGTGTTTTTTTTTTTGTAATGAAATATTGTTTTTGCACTTGTAGCGTTATGTGTTATGGGATACTAAAATTTGCAAACAAAGATTGAAACAGCCCAATTTACAAAGGATTAAGGTGTGATTTACCCACCTGCAAAACAAACAGAACATTCTGTAATGTAATTTAATACGAGTTCATTGTGCAGAAGATTATTTAATTGTGGCTCACTAAAGATTTGTGTATGAATACATGGGAACACCATTGAGTGAACTAAGAAGAACAAAAGATAATACAACACAGTCAGGGTCCCTCCCTGCTATTAGTTTTGTTAATGCCCTCTTTCCTGATACACTCCATATAACTTAACAAAGGATAGAAAAGGATATTTTGCTCCAATTTTAATTTTCCGTCGCCTTGTCCTGACATCTGCTCATTCCCGAACTCACAACTCTCATCTGCAGGATTTTCCAAGGGCTGCCCGTTCCTATGCAATTTCTTACCTTGTCCAATCACACTCTCCCCTAGACTCCAGTCCTTTAAGATGTTGCTGAAAACACAACTTTTTAGTAAATCCAACCATCTTCCTGGGTGATGCTTCTCTCAATACTCAGTTCCCTCGCCTCCAAAGCCCAGGCTCACTCTCTCCTTCCATTGCTCACTTTCTCGACATAGGCATCTTATATTAAGCCACGTGGGGCTCAATTTAATATTGTTGGATAAGCTTTCCAAATAAATTAAAGGAACACTATACTGATAGGAATACACACATGTAATCTTGTCATTATAGCTGAGAAAACACAGTTAAGGTCCACCTGTTAGAAAAGTAAAATGTGATTTTGCTTACCTTTTTCCAGCACCACATGGGATTCCTAGTGGCTGGCACTGGGACAAACATTTCCAGAAGACACACAGTGCTGGGACTGGATAAAATATTTCCAGAAGACACACAGTACTGAGACTGGGGAAAATATTTACATAAGACACACAGTGCTGGGACTGGGGGAAACATTTACAGAAGGCACACAGTGCTGGGACTGGGGGAAACATTTACAGAAGGCACACAGTGCTTGGACTGGGGAAACATTAATAGAAGATGCAGTGTGCTAGGATTGGAAGAAACATTTTAGAGAAGACACGTAGTGCTGGGTTTTTGGGCAACATTTCCTGAGGCACACACAGTGCTGGGTTTGGGGGAAAACCCTTCAGAAGGCACACAATGTTGGGTCTGGGGGAAGCATTTCCAGTCATGGGGTGGGGTGTTTATGACTGCAATTGGGTTTCGTCATCTGGGGTTTTGTAGCGGTGACGAAACCCAATTGCAGCGGAACAGCACTCCCTTACAATTACGACCCTCAGGAGCAACTGGAAGTGGGTACAGGGTCCTAAAAAGGTCTGTGGTGGCACAGAGGTCTTTAATGGGTAGAAGCCAAGTGAGGTATCAAAGAGGGGAAGAAGCAGGAGGTGTAGTCAATCAATCCGGGATCAGGTATGGCAGCAGGCAAGAGTAGTCAATCAATCCGGCATCAGGTCAGTCATCAGGCAAGGGTAGACGATAACGTAGATAAGGATCAGGAACCAAAAAGACAAGTAGGGAATTATACAAGAGCAAGGAAAATAACCAAGCAATGACTGGAAGGCGTGCTTGGTTTAAATAGGGAGCCAGGAGCTGTAAAAGGAGGTCTTTGACTCAGCGCCATCTTGGCTTACCTCACAGTCCCTGACCTGCCTCCTTTCGTCAGGATCACAACTCCTCCCCTCCCCCCACCTAGAACGCTGGGTTCACATGGCGGCCGCCATCTTGCCGCAACGGCACGCTCGCCTCGTACCTCGGCATGGGGAGATGGAGATGCCACAGCCCCGGGGACTTGAAGAGCGGCGACCGCCACCATTCTGTCGCGAGGACACTGCGGGCACCAAGCAGCAGGTAAGTGACCAGCTCTGCGTATCACTGGGGAAAACATTTCCAGAAGCTACATGGTGCCGGGTCTAGGAGAACATTTCCAGGGGACACACAGTGCTGGATCTGTGGGAAACATTTCCAGTAGGCACACAGTGCTGGGACTGGGAAAACATTTTCCGAAGACATACAGTGCTGGGTCTGGGAGACACATGTCCAGAAGGCACACAATGCTGGGTCTAGTGATAACATTTCCAGAAGGCAAAAACAATGCTGTTACTGGGGGAAACCTTTTCAGAAGGCACAAAGAATGCTGGAGTTTGTGGAACACATTAGTGATGTCCCGAACGGTTCGCTGGCGAATAGTTCCTGGCGAACATCGCTTGTTCGTGTTCGGCACGGATGGCGAACATATGCGCTGTTCGGTCCACCCCCTATTCGTCATCATTGAGTAAACTTTGACCCTGTACCTCACAGTCAGGAGACACATTCCAGTCAATCAGCAGCAGACCCTCCCTCCCAGACCCTCCCACCTCCTGGACAGCATCCATTTTACATTCATTGTGAAGCTGCATTCTTAGTGAGAGGAGGGACAGTGTAGCTGCTGCTGATTTGATAGGGAAATTGATAGCTAGGCTAGTGTATTCAGTGTCCACTACAGTCCTGAAGGACTCATCTGATCTCTGCTGTAAGGACAGCACCCCAAAAAGCCATTTTTAGGGCTAGAACATCAGTCTGATTTTTTTTTTCTGTGTAATGTAATTGCAGTTGCCTGCCTGCCAGCCTGTGTGTCAGGCTCACAGCATATACTGTGCCCACTTACCCAGTGCCACCACTCACTCACTGGTGTCACAATAGCTTGCATTTAAAAAAAACAAAAACTTTTTTGACTGTAATATAATAGCAGTCAGTTTCCTTCACGAGTGTGCGTTTCAGGGCCTGCCCAGTGCCACCACTCATTCACTGGTGTCCCAATAGCTTGCATTTAAAAAAACAAAAACTTTTTGACTGTAATATAATAGCAGTCAGTTTCCTTCACGAGTGTGCGTTTCAGGGCCTGCCCAGTGCCACCACTCACTCACTGGTGTCCCAATAGCTTGCATTTAAAAAAAACAAAACTTTTTTGACTGTAATATAATAGCAGTCAGTTTCCTTCATGAGTGTGCGTTTCAGGGCCTGCACAGTGCCACCACTCACTCACTGGTGTCCCAATAGCTTGCATTTAAAAAAAAAAACAATCTTTTTGGACTGTAATATAATAGCAGTCAGTTTCCTTCACGAGTGTGCGTTTCAGGGCCTGCCCAGTGCCACCACTCACTCACTGGTGTCCCAATAGCTTGCATTTAAAAAAAACTGATAAGAATAGTACTACTTAACACACCACTCCTATCTGGTGGCACATTAGATTGCACGCGCAGTGCCCCAAATTTGAAGTAGGAGGACCGACCAAGCATCTTTTTCCATCTCCCGGCTCCTAAAATCGATGCCATATACACGTCCCCTGATAGGGGATGTAACAGGGATTAAACTGATAGGAATAGTACTACTTAACACACCTTATAATAACGCAGAGAGAGGCAACACAGAGAGAGGAGTCTGAAGAAGAGGAGTCAGAGGAGGAAGGTGGCTTTGAGGAGGTGGAAGACCAACTACAGCAGGCGTCCCAGGGGGCTTGTTGTCACCTTTTGGGGACCCTTTGTGTTGTACGTGGCTGGGTGGAGGAAGAGACCTTCAATGACATCAGTGAGGACAAGGAACGGGACATGGCTAGCTTGGTATCCAACCTTGTGCAAATGGGGAGTTTGCGGTTGTGCAAGTGGACTGTTTGCGGTTGTTTGCGGTGCGTTAAACGGGGAGTTTGGTCTGTCACTGTGAAGTGGGCGTAACCCTTACACTACCTGATCGATACAACATCATACCTGATGTTTTAAAGCACGTTATTCCAAACAATTTAGGAAGGTTAGGTGATTTATGCCCTTTATGGATTAAAACCAGACTCTGCATCAACTATGTAATTTTCCATGGGAGTTTTGCCATGGATCCCCCTCCGGCATGCCACAGTCCAGGTGTTAGTCCCTTTGAAACAACTTTTCCATCACTATTGTGGCCAGAAAGAGTCCCTGTGGGTTTTAAAATTCACCTGCCTATTGAAGTCTATGGCGGTTCGCCCGGTTCGCTGGTTCGCGAACATTTGCCGAAGTTCGCGTACGCCGTTCGTGTACCGAAAATGTTATGTTCGCAACATCGCTAGAACACATTTTTTATCAGACACATACAGACCTGACATGAGGGAGACATATCTGGGTTAAAGGGACTCTCCGGACCTCTAAAGCACATGTGTGAAGAGCATAACTAGAAACCACAGCCCCCCCCCCTCCTAATCCCCCTGCCCCTGTCCCTCTATGTGTTTCAGTTACACCCCCGAGGCCCTTAATGTGTCTTATTCATGCTCCCCATGTGGGTGAGTGACAGGATTGGGGGAGTTATTGTGAGCATGGCAGTGTGAAGGGGGTGACAGTGTCTGGAGGGGTGACAGATACACAGACACACAGGTTCATACACTAACACACATAAAGATGGACAAACACCCTGACACAATATAAAACATGCTAATACACAGACACACAGAATGGCACAGATTCAGATACACAGAATTACACTGACACACATGAGGATACACAGACACACATACAGACAGATACACATATAGACAAACATGCAGATACACATACAGACACATATGCAGACAAACAGATACAAATAAAGACACACATACAGACACAGACACACATGTGAATATACAGACAGACAGATATAGACTCACATACAAATGCACAGGCACACTTAATGACAAACAGTCAGATACACAGAATGACACTAATACAGATACAAACAGTAACACACAGATATATAGAGGCACACACTGACACACATGCTGATTAGAGATGTCCCGAACAGTTCGCCGGCGAATAGTTCCTGGCGAACATCGTATGTTCGCGTTCGCCGTGGCGGGCGAACATATGCGATGTTCGGTCCGCCCCTATTTCATATCATTGAGTAAGCTTTGACAACCCCCCCACCGGCCGCTCGGGGGTGGGGGTTGTCAAAGTTTACTCAATGATATGGGGGGGACCTACTGTCCTCCCCCCGGCCCCCACCCCTGAGCGGTGGGTGGGGGCCCTAAAAAAAACAATAGGGGGGGAACTTCTGTCCCCCCCAGCCCCCACCCCTGAGTGGTAGGTGGGGGCCCTAAATACTAATAAAGGGGAGGGACCTAAGGTCCTCCCCCCTGGCCCCCACCCCTGAGCGGCGGGTGGGGGCCCTAAATACTAAAAAGGGGGGGGGACCTAATGTCCTCCCCCCAGGCCCCCACCCCTGAGCGGTGGGTGGGGGCAAATAAATCACAATGGGGGGGACCTAAGGTCCTCCCCCTGGCCCCCACCCCTGAGAGGCGGGAGGGGGCCCTAAATACTAAAAAGGGGGGGGACCTAATGTCCTCCCCCCTGGCCCCCACCCCTGAGCGGCGGGTGGGGGCCCTAAATACTCAAAAGGGGGGGACCTAAGGTCCTCCCCCCTGGCCCCCACCCCTGAGCGGCGGGTGGGGGCCCTAAATACTAAAAAGAGGGGGGACCTAATGTCCTCACCCCCGGCCCCCACCCCTGAGCGGTGGGAGGGGGCAAATAAATCACAATGGGGGGGACCTAAGGTCCTCCCCCCTGGCCCCCACCCCTGAGCGGTGCGTGGGGGCCCTAAATACTAGAAAGGAGGGGGGACCTAATGTCCTCTCCCCCGGCCCCCACTCCTGAGCGGCGGGCGGGGGCCGTAAATACTAAAAAGGGGGGGGGACCTAAGGTCCTCCCCCCTGGCCCCCACCCCTGAGCGGCGGGTGGGGGCCCTAAATACTAAAAAGGGGGGGACCTTATGTCCTCCCCCCCGGCCCCCACCCCTGAGCGGTGGGTGGGGGCAAATAAATCACAATGGGGGGGACCTAAGGTCCTCCCCCCTGGCACCCACCCCTGAGCGGCGGGTGGGGGCCCTAAATACTAAAAAGGGGGGGGGACCTAATGTCCTCCCCCTCGGCCCCCACCCCTGAGCGGCGGGTGGGGGCCCTAAAAAAAGTCCCCCCCCAGGTGACTAGGGGTCCCCAAACCCCTAGTCACCCCCCCAAAAAAAAATTAACCCCCTACCTACCCCCCTCACCCTAAAAATAATGAGGCGGGGACCTTTAACTAAGTAACTGTAAAAAAAAAAAAAACTTACCATTCGATGTTTTCTTTCTTCTTAATCTTCTTTTTTCAGCCCCAAAAAAGGCCAAATAAAAAACCATAATAACCGACGCAATTAAAAAATAAATAAATAAATAACCGAGCGCAAAAAAAATAATCCATCTTCACCCGGTGAGGGCTCCGCACAGACTGAGCTCTGCAGGGCGGGGGAAGGCTTATAAAGCCTTGCCCCGCCCTGCAATTAGGCTCAGAGCACTCTGATTGGTGAGTTTAAGCCATCCAATCAGAGTGCTCTGACAGGTAAATGAAGAGACTGACAGGTAAGAAGAGACTGTGTCATTTTACACAGCATGTAAAATGGAATTGTCCCACGCTGTGTAATTTGACTCATAACAACACTCTGATTGGTTACTTTCAATCCACCAATCAGAGTGTTGTTATGAGTCAAATTACACAGCGTGGGAAAATTCCAAAGAACTTTCCCACGCTGTGTAAAATGACACAGAGCACTCTGATTGGTGGATTTCAAACCAACCAATCAGAGTGCTGTGACAGGTAAATGTAGAGACTTACCTGTCAGTCTCTTCATTTACCTGTCAGAGCACTCTGATTGGATGGCTTAAACTCACCAATCAGTGCTCTGAGCCTAATTGCAGGGCGGGGCAAGGCTTTATAAACCTTCCCCCGCCCTGCAGAGCTCAGTCTGCGCGGAGCCCTCGCCGGGTGAAGATGGATTATTTTTTTTGTGCTCTTTTTTTTTACAGGTACTTAGTTAAAGGTCCATTATTTTTAGGGTGAGGGGGGTAGGTAGGGGGTTAATTTTTTTTTGGGGGGGGTGACTAGGGGTTTGGGGACCCCTAGTCACCTGGGGGGGAAATTTTTTTTAGGGCCCCCACCCGCCGCTCAGGGGTGGGGGCCGGGGGGGAGGACATTAGGTCTCCCCCTTTTTAGTATTTAGGGCCCCGACCCGCTGCTCAGGGGTGGGGGCCGGGGGGGAGGACCTTAGGTCCCCCCCATTGTGATTTATTTGCCCCCACCCACTGCGCAGGGGTGGGGGCCGGGGGGGGAGGACAGTAGGTCCCCCCCTCATTATTTTTATGGCCCCCACCCATCGAGCAGGGGTGGGGCCGGGGGGGGAGGACAGTAGGTCCCCCCCCTCATTATCTTTATGGACCCACCTGCCGCCCAGGGTTGGGGGCCAGGGGGGAGGACAGTAGGTCCTCCCCCCCATTGTAATTTATGGCCCCCACCCGTCGCACAGGGGTGGGGGCAATAGTTTTTTTTTGTTTTTTTGTTTTTTTACAGTGAGCAGCCACTGGCTGCTCACTGCTTACTAGACATGCCCCTACTCGCTGCATAGTGAGTAAGGGCAGAATTTACTAATACTAAGTAATCTTTACTTAGTATTAGTAAATGTGGCTGAAAGACCAATTTAGGTCTTTCAGCCTTTTAGTAGATAGCTCTCTAATACCGTGGGAATTAGGGAGTTATCTACTAAGCAGCTGCAAGATGCAGCCGCGGATCGGAGTTTGCATGCCACAGTCCAGGTGTTAGTCCCCTTGAAACAACTTTTCCATCACTATTGTGGCCAGAAAGAGTCCCTGTGTGTTTTAAAATTCGCCTGCCTATTGAAGTCTATGGCGGTTCGCCCGGTTCGCGGGTTTGCGAACACTTGCCGAAATTCGCGTTCGCCGTTCGCGAACCGAAAATTTCATGTTCGCGACATCACTAATGCTGATACACATGCAAACAGATACACATACAGACTCACATGCAGAAAAACAGATTCACATACAGACAAACAGATACACATACAGGTACACATGCAGACAAACAGATACACATGCAGACACAAACATACAGACAAACAGATACACATATAGATACACATGCAGACACAAACATACAGACAAACAGATACACATACAGACAAATGGATATACAGGCATACAGATACAGACCATACACATGCAAACTGTAAAAAATTATTTGCATCTCTCCTGTTTCCTACCTTTTAGGTGCAGGAGAATAACTTCCCTGGGGACCAGTGACTACTTCAGGCTAATGGGACTCTGACTCCAAGGTGCTCTCCTCCACACGGCTCTGTTAGCTGGGAGGAAGTGACAGCTTCCTCCCAGATCTGACATCATCAGGGTTTTACAGGGTGGCCGAGTCCCCTGGAGTGACAGGCCCAGTCGCGACCCCTGTGACCGTGGTAGTTTTGCCACTGGTAGTGACCCTTACTACCTTCTAGTCTTAAGTAATGTCTTACACTACCTTAATCCTAAGGATCCCCCCCGCCGACCCCCTCCACAATGGCAACATTTGAAATGTAATGATACTTTGCTAAAAGCCAAAATGAAGCATATTTGTGTCGTTATACATATATATAGATAACACAGAATTAAAACATAAATGCCTGCCATGGACAGAAACTAAAGTATATATATTATATATTACATTACATTTTTCATACTTTCATACAGCACAGACAGTTCCCCCTCGGCAATTTAGGCCACTATTTGTTGAATTATATATGTGAAAACATCTTATAAAATCTACACAGAATCACTTAGTAAATGTGTCAGTGAAGAATATATACAAAATATCGTGAAAATGAAAAAAGTGTCATATGTGAATAAGCAAACGTGCACCAAAATATCTAACAGCCAAAGTGAAGCATATTTGTGTCGTTATACAGATATATAGATAACACAGAATTAAAACATAAATGCCTGCCATGGACAGAAACTAAGGTATATATATTATATATTACATTACATTTTTCATAAATTGTCCAATACTCTATTCATTCATAGACTTACAGGCACAGGGAGGAGCAACTTAAAAAGTCATGTTATATAAATACTAGGAGTGTAAAATAAATGACTCTGAAGGAAGCAAAGGAGCTTAAAGGTATTGATATTACGATATCATTAGCTAAGAAACTGGGAGCATAATTATATTGCATAATGCGAGACAGTATTAGGAGAGGGTTACAATAATCCATGTGGGAAATTATGAGAGCATGGGCAAGCTCCTTGGTAGTATCTTGTGTAAGAAAGGGGCAGATGTGGGCTATGTTTTTTTTTGCAGTTTTCAGACATCTCTCACATCATAACTAATACACATAGTGTCTGGATATGTCATCATGCTGCTGCATTATCAAGCTTAATCAGAAATATAAAGAAAAAGAATACAGACAAAATGAAAAAATAAATAAATACATTTTAAAAATGTCATATCTTACAGTATCCCTCTAGGTTTGCCTGGGCAGTGAAAAATCCCTTTACCATCAGCAAATTGATTGATCTGATTTTTCACCGCTTCCCTGCCTATTAACTTTTGATTTTTTCATTGGTTACCTTTCTTATTCAATATCTCATATTCATATCTGATCCAAATATCATAAAAAGCAAAGAAAATATTATTTCTTTGGCATATTGGATTGTCAAAAACATGGCAAGACTAAATTGATTATAATAGCTCTAATTTTTGTATGCAAAAATTCCAAATTTGATATGGTTTAGATCCATATCTCTTTGTAATGCTAATATTTCTCTCCATTTTTATTTGAAACTGTAATTGATTCATAACCTCCTTCCATCTAGGGCTTAAGGGAGTCTTCCAATTATGTGCTATTATAATTTTAACTGCAAGGAAACAATGTGGGCTGACACCTTTTGAGTTAGTCTTGTTTCCCTTCCCATATAAAACTTATGAGACTTTTCTGAACTTAGCCACCAATTTTAAAGAGATCATCTTAAACATACAACGCCAGTTAGGGAGAATATATGCATTTACTATGTTAATTCTTCCCATCCATAAAGGTTTAATTTTCGGGCAATCCCACCAAATATGTTTATAGTTCTCCAATTTTTTAATATGTGATTAGTGTGGTGTAGGAGTGATAAAAGGTTGATCTCTCTTATTTTTTTTATATTTTTTTTGCACATCAGAATATGGTATTAGTTGTTTCATTTCTTGAGTAATCGTAAATGAAGTTATCAAATACCAAATCATCATATGTTTTGTTCAATTTCTTTTTCACTCTCTACCCTAATCCGCTTTATTTCAGTTTCATTCTTTTATTTATCTTAAAACTATTAAAATTTTATTAAACAATAAAATACAAAACAAACTAACTAATAAACATACAAACATTTGCTCGGTTCTTAGTGCAAGAGAAAAAAATAATAATAATACATTAATTCACTTATCAGGCTCGAGGGAGGGGGCTCAAACGTTTCCCTAAAAAGATGTAAACCATGCGGTTAGATAAAAAAAGAAACAGGGAAAATCCACTATGAAGAGAGCGGATAGTGAGGAAAACCTCCTTGTTCAGGGCCCAATTTTTTAATCCATTTATCCCATTATGTGTAGTGATGGCCCTTATTTGAACAAAATTAGTGATGGCCCTTTCCATTTTACATTGAATAATGCTTTGAGCATGGATCTTAGACCAGTTGTCTACCTTAGGGGATTTCCAGTTCCTGGCTATTGAGGTTTTCACCGCCATTAAGATGTGAAGAATAATAGGTCTAAATTCTTTATTAATGCCTGTCATATCAATATGTAATAGGGCCATACTTGGAGTCAGCTCAACCCTTGTTTCGAGTAAAACTGATAAATATCAGTTTAGCGTATCCCATAAAGGTCTAATTTTCAGGCAATCCCACCAAATATCTTTGAAGTCTGCAGTTAATTGATTGCATCTCCAGCAATTTGATGGGGCTGTAGGATACATTATTGCTATTTTGTAGGGGGTACTATACCATCTGTTTAGTATTTTATAATGGGTTTCGTGTATATTTAGACAATGACAGACTTTATATATAGTATTATGGGAGTTGTTCCATTCTTTCATAGTTATATCTTTTGCCAGGTTTTGATTCTATTTAATAATTGCCGGGGGAATTGATTTACTTGTAAATAATTTTGGGGCATTTATTTGCCAGGTTGGTATAGTCTGACTGCTCATATAAGTCTGAGAGAAGCTTCACTGGTGGATCTAGAGGGTTAGATCTTAAAAATGTGTTTAAAAAGGATTTTACCCTAACATAAGTGAACCAACGATTAGGAGGTATATTATGTTCAGTTTGGAGTTGTTCGTAAGATTTTACTCTATTTCCTATCATGAGATTAGATATCGTTTTTATACCTCGCATTGTCCAGATTTCTAAATTTATACCTGTCATTATATCTGCCAGTATACTTAAATTTATGCCAGGGATTCTCTTATTTTTTAACCAAATTTTTTTTTAAATAGAGACCAGGTGGGAAAAATATGTTGAACTGTCATCGATTTTGAATTTGTAATACAATGATTTGTTTCTTTATCCATTCACCATAGGAGAGTTCTATAGTCCCTGTCTCCCGAGGTCAAAATCTGTTCACTTTTGTACCAGTATTCATTTACAGAGTCTTCCTTATTTATCACTAAGACATGCGCTAATAAATTAGCTTGTGCAATGTCTTGGATAATTGGAATACTCATACCTCCTTCATCTGTTTTCTTAGACATAATATCTTTTTTAATTCTCGTTTTTTTGCCTGCCCAGATAAATTTGGTAAATTATGTTTGAATTAATTCTAACCAACTGTCTGGGATCTTAATAGGAATCATTCTCATAATATATGAGAATTTTGGTACAATATATGCTTTTAATGTATTTATTTTCCCTGACCAGGAGATTTCCAGAGTTTTCCATTTCTTTAAGTTAAAATTTGTTTTTTTTAATTAAGGGAAGGATATTATTCTCTAACCATTTCTTTGAGTTTTTGGAAATTTTTATACCCAAATAATTAAAATAAATTTTAACTTGTTTAAATCCATGTTTTTTTTCTATACTATCAATATTATTTTGAGATGTATTTAAATGTAACGCTGTAAATTTCTCGTTATTTATCTTATAATTAGAAAAGTTGCTATCATTTCTGATAGTATCAGCCACTTGGTCAATGTAGTCCTCAGGTTTCTGTATAGTTATCAGTACATCATCAGCATTGTAACAGGATTGCAATCTCTGCCTGGACTTCTTTAACAATTGCATACCATGGATGTACAAATGAACCGACTTGCCTGTTTCTGCGAACCACTATTGCCCAAGAAAACGAATCCAAATTACCGAACACCGGACCACCCTGAAGTAAAAGTTAAGTGATACTTTACCTCCCAGACCAGCACAGCCGTTCGCATGGTTCAGCACGAATCCTTTGTGTAAAGTATAGGTGTCCGCCATTTCGGGACTTTGCACGTGTTCGCGTCCATCTTACGCACGAACAGCAGTGTTTTGCCATCAATCGTGTGGAACTAAAAACGGATACGCAAACAGGCGAACACTGCTGAGACCTCCATAACAACGTTGATTCGTGCTGAAACTACCGAACGGCCGGCCGTTCGGTAGAAAGATTAAACTATGCATGGGGATTCTGGCAAACGTCAAGATAACTGTGGATGGCAAGAGTTTCATGGGTTTTTAATGCACGAACGGGGACTAACCGCAAGGCCAAAACTTGTGGAACTATTTTCGGCTAGAAAGTCTGTGTGGTCGGTCAAAACTTCAAAGACCCATAACTCCCGAACGTTTTAACCGAATGGGCTGGATTTTTGATATGTTGTTCCCCTGAACAAGAGCTATCTGGGGATACTGTACCCCGTGGTTTTAGGGTACAATCAGAACTTGGGTAAAATTGTGTGTGTTATAATTATGTTGAATGTTTATCTGAGGGGAGGAGATGTGTGGGTTGTACCATGTTGGTGATTGGGTATTGTGATAATTATGAAGGTGTAGCCCTTTCCAGGGCAGCATTGCATAAAAGGAGACCCCTGTCAATAAACCTCAGTTCTGCTTGACCCTTCAAAACGTAGCCTCGTCTCGTTCTTGGAAGGGGATTTATTGTACCATTCCTCTGCTCCAGTTTACAGTTATGCCTGACTCTACCCTTGGATTTCGTGGATGGGATTTAGAACTCCATTACTACCCAGCAGCTTGCCAGGAAAAGGACGTCTCCAACGGCTGATACCCCTTTACTACTTGGGTAGCCGTTACAAGCATATAACTTGATTTTTTGGTTATTTTTTGGTTATTAGCAAGTCCTTTAATTCCATGATTATATCTTATATCTACTGCCAGGGGTTCAATCGATAATCTATGCAGTGATGGTGATAAAGGACATCCCTGGTGTGTACCATTGGAAATTCCAAACCATTTAGACTTAATTCCAGGACCCACAGTTCTACTTTGGGGGTCATTGTATAAGGCCATTATAGCACTAAGTATCTCACCCGTGAGATTTATTTTATTTTATGTATATCTCTTGCCAGTTTCATACTTAAATCCGGCATTTCTTTACTTATCCAGGTGAAATCATATTTTGCTTTAATAACTTCTTTTGATGTTTTATCAAAGTTCAAATCCATAATTGTGGTTTTGTCTATATTAATCTTGTAGTTTGCTTCTTGTGAGTATTCCCTTTTTTTTTCATCAAATGTTCTAATGAATTGATTGGATCTAAAATTGTTATTAAAATGTCGTCCGCAGATAGATTGATTTTTAATTCATTTCCCTTACAACCAAATCCTTTAATATCCGCATTTTTTCTTATTTTATTTGCAAAGCTTTCAGTGGTCATAATATAGAGCATTGGAGATAGAGGGCAACCTTGTCTGGTCCCATTGCTAAGAGTAAATCAACTAGAACATAGGTTAGGGACGACTATTCTTGCTGAAGGAAGTGTATATAATGCCATAATGGCATGATGCATCCAGCCCTGAATCCCATAGTAATGTAATGTATGATTCATAAAGTATGATTCATAAAGTCCCAACTGACCCTGTTGAAGGCTTTATCAGCATCTATCGACAGGGTTAGTGTAGGTATGTTTTTCCTTATAGCTGAATCTATAATATTAATCATTCTTCTTGTGTTACAAGAGGAACATCTTAATGGAACAAACCCAATTTGATCTGGATGGATTATAATCTTTAATATGGATTTTAGTCTGTAGGCTAATATTGCAGAAAATATTTCAACATTACCATTTAGTAATGAGATTGGTCGGTAATTTCTACTATCGTAGGGTTTTTGTCTTGTTTGAGAATTGGTATCAAGTTGGCTTGCAGCATTTCTGGTGGAAAAGTCCCTTGTATTACAATGTGATTAAGTGTCGCCAATAGCTGTTCTAGTAGCTGTTCTTTAAATGATTTGTAGAACATATTGCTGAAAACATCTGGGCCTGGTGTTTTTCCATCTTATCTATTTCTCTTAAAATTTCCAGTTTCGTTATTGGACTGTTTAATTCCACTCTTTGTGAATCTGTTGTTTTATTTAAGTTTGATTTCCATATATAATCTTCTATTTTATATTTATCTGTTGTTTCTGTGAGGTTATATAAGGAACTATAATAATCGCTAAAGCATTGCCCTATTTGTTCTAGTGTCATAAATGTCTCATTATTTTTAACTATCTTTATAATACGACTTTTTTTTCTTTATTCTTTAATTGAGCAGTAAGTGATTTATCTGCCCTTTTCCCTTTACTATAATATTTTACTTTTAATTTTTCTAGATTTAATGTTATTTTTTTCCATTAATTTCTGATTTATTAATCTTTGTATCTCAATAAGTTCTTTTTTATTCTGCTTTATTTATTGGACCTTGCCACTTGGTTTAGTCTGATATATAATTTTGATAGGCTTTCCCCTTTTTTCTTTCGATCTTGACTATTCAAATTTATAAGATGTCCTCTCATTACTGATTTGAATGCACACCAGTTCACAATGTAAGAAGTTTCTTTTGGGTCGTTTTCCAAAAAATACTGTTGGATTCTTTCTTTAATTGATTAGAACATTAGAAATATTGTATAACAAATGATCATGATTAGGATATCATGATCTGACCAGGTATTGTTTTTCATATCAATTTTTATTAATCTTTTCCAGCAATTGTAAGTTTCCCTAGAGCATATCTATCCTTGAATGTGAGAGATGAACTCTTGAGAAATGGATGTAATCTCTCAAATCTGGGTGTAATATTTACCATATATCAAACAGGTCATTACTATTTAAAATGTTTGATAATAATCTGGCCTCTTTGCATATATGTTTATCTGGTTTGTGTCACGTAGCTTGTTTTTTTGTCCAAAGTTGGATCCAAAATACTATTAAAATCACCCGCTATAATCAAAAATCCAATTTTAATGTGTTCTAGAATATCAAAGATTTTCTCTAGAGTCGAAACTGAATTTATGTTCGGTAGATACAAATTAACCAGTGTGTATTCAACGTTATCAATTTTATTTATGACAATGAGATATCTCCCCTCCGGGTCAATGACTTAATGTAGAATCTCAACTTCAAGCTCATTTGAGAATATAATTGCAACCCTACATTTTTTTAAAATCTTTTTTTAGAGGAACATATCGTAATTGGGTATTTTTTACCTCCAAAATGTATGTTATCTTGTTTATTAAAAAATTTTCTAATGTTATTTTAGTGTTCTAAAACACACTCTTGTAGCTTTCTACAAGTTCTACATAATTTGTGAAATTACTTACTCCACTGTCCATGTGGGAAGCAGTATGTGGGCCTGTAACGGACCGTTTTGCACACAAGGGGTAAAAACCGTTTAGGCGATTGTCCCCCTTTCCAGAGATGCAGGCACAGCTATTGTAGAACACCAAACTCACGAACCGCCAATAAGTGAATGCTCCAAACTCCCGAACGGCATCCAATACAGCACTCCAAACACACGAACTGGAACCATACGAATAGCTGCTAGCAGATGAATAGGAAAAGCATCCAAGCGGCTTACACTCCTAGCAATCAGTCTCTATCAGCATTCAGTAAATCCCCCCAAAGACGAGACAAGGCTCCGTGTTGAGGGTCAAGCAGTGGACTGTTTAATGAGGGCTACCTGCCCAGTATTTATGCAGGTCTCCCACCTGGTGAATTAAGCGTCGAACACCGCTGTACGTTCGCATGTTTAAAATGGCCGCGACCTCGTGTTCGTGATACGAATGGCGGCCACCCAGCATTCGCCAATTAAGCTGCAGTTAACCGCAGCTTCAGGGAGGTTAATTGCCGGCACACTCCAGCTCCCAGGTGGTCTATTCATTCATGCGGTTGTTCGGTAGATTGAATCTACCGAACCCCAGGCAGAAAAGCACGAATAAGTCTTTTCTGCAGGGAAAAAGATGTCTTTTAACATGGGGCCATAGTCCAAAGGAAGCAGGCGAGCAACCAGGCTTCTCCAATGCAATGTGGCGAGATTGCTCTCGTCACAGGGCCGAACTAGTAGAAAGCTAAAAGAGCATATTTTAGAACACAAAAATAACATTAGGAAAAATTTTAATAACATATAGTCCCTATCCATTGTAATACATGTGCTAAATTTAGTAGGAAAGATTTTTATTATGTGGGTCTGGAAAAAATAGAAAATTATTGGAGATTTGGAAACATAATAAAAAAATTAGCAGAACGTAAAACTTATTGGATTAACACGTTAAAAACCCTCTAACCAGGGGGACTAAATGTGGACATAGATCTGTGGTGCTTTTTAGACTAGTCCTTTTCCTTTCCCCTTTTTCTTTTCTTTTAGATTTTTTATCTTCATTTGTGAAGGAACTGTTGTGTTATAAAATTTTATCAAGTTTATGATTCTTTTTATATTATCATTTATGGAACAATTCTGTAGAGGAATTTCTTTTGAACTTCTTTTTATATAACAATTTTTTTTTTCTTTTTGATATTTTTGCTCTGACTGCATAGTGAATAGAACATACTGAGTGCTCAATTATCAACATTGATCTATCCCTAACAGGATTGTTTCATTAATTTATATATTTTAAAAAAATGTGGTGTTTAATATAGTATTTTTTATGTAAACTGTCATTAGCAGTCATTAACTTTTTTCCCCTATCCCTTCCAACGTGTTTCGCTCTCCCATCCACTCATTTCAAGAACTCTTTCTGTAATATATTGGACTCCCCTGAAGTGGAGACTCCGGCGTACATAATGACGATGCTGAAACGCATGCATGGAATGCATGATGTTATCGCTCACAGGACGCGATGACGCAGGATGGACAGAACCAGGAAGTAATCATGTGAAGATCAAGATGAAGGAACCTATAGGAAGAAGATTTGAACTGATTGTGGGGTGTATATATGAGGGAGGGAGGGAGGGAAGGGAAATTTTTATGCACTTTGTACCTATCTTCAATTGAGAAACAGTCCCGACTCGAGGAAGTCCCTGATAGGGATGAAACGCGTAGGACTTGATTTTATCTTGTGAATCTCTTGATGCCAGTTGTCTTGTACGTCTGTGTAAGTAAATACATTTTGCATTGTGCACGTTATCTATATAGTTATTTTATTTGGCTGCACTTTATCTATTTTACATGAATGAGACCTATATCAATAAAATCCAGGAATTGAGAAGATATATATCCAAAGATTTCTGAAGGCTCTTTATTTGGCTCCAAAGTGTGAGTGGCCAATTGGCCACTAATTATACATTAAATTGGGTTACACAGTGTTCCACTATGTTGTACCAGAGATGGAAGAAAGTCAAGCAGTGACACATTGCAGAATGGCAGGGGAGAGGTCCTGGGAGGAGAAATATATCTGGGTTTCATCAGCATACAGGTGGTAGTGGACTCCAATAGAGGTAATAAGTTTGCCAAGAGAGGCAGTATAAAGAGAAAATAGAAGGGGACCAAGGACAGAGCCTTGGGTGACTCCAACTGAGACAGGACGAGGGGAGGAGGTATCATTAGAAAAGGAGACAATGAATGAGTGTTGGGAGAAATAAGAGGAAAACCACGAGTGGACAGAGTCACAGAAACCGAGTGACTGAAGAGTTTGAAGAAGGAAAGCATGATCAACGGTGTCAAAGGCAGCAGAGAGGTCAAGAAGGATTAGTATGGGGTAGTGACCTTTGGATTAAACTGCGATTAGGTCATTAGTAACTTTGATAAGAGCAGTCTCAGTAGAGTGGAGACGGTGGAAACCAGATTGAAGAAGGTCAAGGAGAGAGTTGGAATTGAGGAAGTGAGACATATGGGTAAAGACAAGTTCTTCCAGAAGCTTTGAAGAAAAAGGGAGAAGGGATATGGGACAATAGTTAGAGGGGGCGGACAGGTCTAGAGATTTTTTTTTCAGGACAGGTACTACAGTGGCATCCATCCCCTTGGAGGTGATTTTGTGTTTTATTTTAGCATTTATATGGATTGATATAGAAAGGAATGTGAAAAAGAATATGACTGCTATTTAGAATTTTTATATATCCTGTCACACATTTGCAGAGTGGTAATTCTTCTGTTCCATTCATAATATGTACTCCATTTACCCTACTCCATCTCTTATACTTATAGTTTGAATGATCACTATCCAGCCTCATTCAAATAAATCATAGAGTGTTTTGAGGGATCTGGTAGAAGATCCCCTAGTACGTGTAGAATTCTATACCTATAAATATTTACTTATTTCTTTAAGCCTATATAGGGGCTTCTCTATACTAGTTGAGAACATTTACCTGCCACTCATTACTGAATAGGGTAGAACCTTATTAGTATCTGTTCATTTCATAGTTTCCACTCACAAGGGTCAGATTAATCTGTCCATTTATAGTGTTTGTTACTACCATTGGTATGTTTAGGGTCAGCAGGGACAACGTCAGAAGAGAGAGAGCAGTTGAAGATTTGTGTTAAGGAAGGTACAAGACAAGGGGAGAGAGATTATGATAAGGTGAGATGGGACAGGATCGAGCAGGCATATATGATATATTTTTTGATATTTAATATATCGAAAAGCAAAAATCATTTTAAAAGCTTGTTCAAAAATAATAGTTTATTAGTAGTCAATTAGAAATTCAATCGTCTATGCTGGAAACATACAGACTAATGGGTGATTTCTCAATATGGTAATGATACTTCAGGGCTTATTTCTTATTTTACTGAATTGTTCCAATTTCATTGCAGTTTGGTGAAAAGTATGGGCCTGTTTATACTCTGTATTTTGGTTCTAACCCGGTGATCATACTCTGTGGGTACCAGGCAGTGAAAGAAGCCCTTTTTGATCGAGGGGAGGATTTTGGAGGACGAGGGAAGCTTCCCACGATTGATCAATATATGCAGGGATATGGTAAGTTTTCCTGCACCTTTTTAGTTGAGTTATATACTGCATGTTACTGCCAACGATTCTTATTAACTCAATTTTTTGTACTTGTTATAGTATACAATTATATGATAGAAATATATGTGACCTCTATAATTAATGCAACATGTAGTTTAATGATACAATAATTAGAATTTTAAAAGGGCAAACCACAAAGAACCTCTCCCAGCATAATTTTAATCCCTTATTTAGAGTTCATCCTACAGTAATTAAAATGTACAAGATATTGTGAAAATTGTATGTTATGGAATCAATTAATTTCTTTTTTAACCATTTCTTCATACTTTTTTTTAGAATCTTTCTATTAGATGGTAGAAACTGGCTGTTATACAAAATATTTTGCTGTTGCAGGAGTTGGTTTCAGCAATGGCGAAATATGGAGACAGCTACGTCGCTTTTCCTTGACAACCTTGAGAAATTTCGGAATGGGAAAAAAAAGCATTGAGAAGCGGATTCAAGAAGAAGTTCAGTTTTTGGTGTCTGAACTGAGGTCATATAAAGGTGAACAATATGTATAAATGTATTTTGTTTGTTTTTTGTGTTGTAGCTTAAATTTAATTTGAAGAGTCCCAAAACAAATGCAAAATAAAACCAACGACATCAAAAGAAAATTACAAAAGTATGGAAACAGAATCCATCAAAAAACATTTGCAGTTAACTTACTTCGAACGAATTCAGATTTCTTTTTTTTTAGGACATGATTTTAACAATATCATATTTGCTGATAAACTGGAAAGCATCCCATTGGAATGTTTATTTTTACTAAAGGATAATTCATCAAACGTTGAAATGTGAAGCATTTCAAATTAAATTGAAGCTTTTTGCCAAGAAATACAAAGCATTTTTAAAATTTTTTTTGTTGTTTTGACATACATTTTGCAGTTATTTTGCCAGTTCCGGTCAGTTTAAACATTATGGAATACACATGCACAGTTTTCTTACCACTAACACACAATAGTTATATGATGGATCTGTTTCTACTTCGTATCAAGACATCAACAACATATACCCAACATGTAACGTGTCTGTGATATCCATTCCACACTCAGTGTGTTTTTTTGTAATTGCAGAGAAATCCATTGATCCAACCAACATCCTAGTCCAATCCGTCTCCAATGTTATCTGCTCCATAGTCTTTGGGAATCGTTTTGAATATGAAAACCAGAGCTTCCAAACACTCCTGGGCCTGTTTGCAGCTACATTTAAAGAAATGAGTAGCAGCTGGGGACAGGTATGAGGAAGCCGTCATTACTAACATTTAGACACGATATGTTAACCTGGACATAGAGATGATAAAATAGAAAATGTTCTACCTTCTCCCAAAAAATGTACAATCCAAAGACATACTGGTTGTTAAAATTGTTGTTAAAATGGTTGTTAAAATGGATGGAGAGGGTTAATATTGAATCTAAAAAAAGACAATGGAAATATTTTGGACAGCGTAAAAATGATAATGATTCATTGCAACATAAAAACATATTAATTTCATGCATTATGTTCATTAACTAAGTCACTGATCTAAAATGTAATTACTAAAACTATTTATTATCAAGTCTTCATTTAGATATTTAATGTGTCCTGATTAATAAATGTTGTTTATATGGCCAATCCAAGCTAGAGTTTATATCTCCCACTAATGCTTTATATATGTAATGCATGAAGACATGGATTAATTAAAAAAAAAAAAAGTAAAAGTAAAAAAAACTAACTTTCAAATTTCCTGAATTTGTAGAATCTAATATGAGCTCCCATAGCCAGGAAATCGTTAGAACCTCCTAGGGAATCCCAGTACTTACTTTTTCTGGGAGTGTTAGAGGAACACTATAGTGTATTCCTGGCCCTATGGTGTCAAAAACACTATTTAGCCCCCTGGAGGCTCTTTAAACATAGTGAAAACACACCTTACTTCCAGCGCCAAGGAGGTATGCCAGCGTTGGCCCGGTCCACCGTCTGCATTTGGCTGACGTCATCAGAAGTAATGATTCCATAGGAAATTGGTTGAGATCATCAATTCTGATGATCTCAACTAAGGAGGCTGGTGAGGGTGGTGCCAAACATCACCCAGGCCGAGATGCATTGAGTCAATACATCTCTATGGGTTAAGGTCAGCATCACCATGCAGAGAATGGAGACACTGAACATTGGTGCTGCACACTGTTCAGCACTGCCCCAAGCAGCACCTCCAGCGGCCATCTGAGGAGTGGCCACTAGAGGTGTTCTTAGGCTGTAATTTAAATGCTGCCTTTTCTCTGAAAAGGCAGTGTTTACAGAAAAAAGCATGCAGGGGCAATCTATGGACACAAGAACAACTACAATATGCTGTAGTTCTTCGAGTGCCTATTGTGTCCCTTTAAGCATACAATCTAAACCCACACACATCAAGGCTTTATGGGAGATGTGATTTAGAACATTGCAGTAATGTCATTGAAGTGTTTCAATAATCCAAAAACAAATAAGATATGAGTAATGTGTAGATCTCTCTGTCTATACTCGGACTAGTCAAGTGTGAGATATATTGTAAGTGCGTTCTTACTATATGCACTTTAAAGAATCTGGTTACTATAATTTACACATTGACACCTTATAAGACAGTATGCAGTTAGATTGATATGGCACTTTTTAGTTTAAGTTTTATTGTGTGTGAACACATTATTCGCCAGTCTGAAAGACACAGAACACTTTTATATGTTTTTTGATTTTTGGGATTGTTCGTCTGTGGGTTATTGCACTAGAACGGTTCTGCTATTTCTACACATAATTTTACACTCATTTTAGAATATTTTATTAGACAATACAATAGTCCCAAAAACGTCTTATGTGAAAGGTACCCTTATAGATAGTTTTGCACTTGGGTAAGGTGCTGAGTCAAACAAAAAGGACTAAATCAAGCAGAAAGTTCTGGTTAAGAAGGTTCTGATTATTTCAGAATTCCTTGCTGAAGCCCATACACAAAGACAAAAAGCGAAAAACTCCAATAGTGCAATATATCAAATCAGTCAAAGTGGGTATAATAAAATAGCGATAGGTTACTCATATTTAGTGGAGCTATAGCCAGCACCAGCCTGTGTAGTGTTCAGTGATATAATCACCACTTACAGGATATGATGTAGGTGTCCCCAATAGGAAAAGTGCCAGCAGCCCAAAATTAAAAGGATACAAATACAAGAGATAGTGCTGGCTGTAGGATAAAATATTTTTAAAAATGAATAAAAGTTATACTCACAAAGGAAGAGCAGATCAACTACTCTATGAACAAAGCACTGGTGGTATGATCCCCACCTAGGATTCTTTGGAGTGAATAAAACATAATGACAATAAAAATAAATATAATTATAAAATATTTCAGGAGATATATTGTATGTAACAATAATAAAAAAGGTTATTGGCACAGTACACAAGTAGAGTGACCAAAAATCCTTTATTCAAATAAAATCCAAAGTAATAACATCCATAAAGCGTTTCATTAATAGGCTTTATGAAATGGAAGGAAAGAGATGTTTCAAATCTACCTTCAATTTTTCTAATAATTATCCTAGAACGTGTTTATTTCTACAAGCAAGAATATTACTCTTTATGTTAGTATATAAAATGCTCAGTATTTAATTGTACTTTCCTAGCTTCTAAACATGTTTCCAACAATAATGAACAATGTTCCCGGCCCTCATAAGAAGGTAAACCAATATCTGGATCTTTTGAGTGACTTTATCAAGGAACGGGTGAAGAAGAATCAAGAGACCCTGGATCCAGATTCGCCCAGAGACTATATTGACTGTTTCCTCATCAAGATGCAGCAGGTATCTAATATCTCGATCAATAGGTTTATCAATAAATCCTACCAAATTGTTACTGCACAAGTTCCATCAACAGAATATGTCTTCCCAAGAAATCGATAAATGTACCATTATAGCATGTGTCTTACAAGAATTGTTTACGGTGGGGTGGGGGGCTTGTCGTTAATTACTAAAATGGGCTTTAACTATCTGCTTCCCAAGCAGTAAGCTGCCCCTCCCAAAATTAGCTCAAAGGTTTCTATATGTAGGAACTTTACTTTAGCTGTGAGATTCTATAAAACATGCAAATAATCAATTAGAAAAGTAATAATTTCTGTATTGGAGAGAAAACATAAGAATGATACATAATTATTATTACTAATAAGTCAGTAACAACCAAAATTAACAAAAATTAACATAAGAAATAGCGTTTAGAAAGGAGCTCAAAGAGGCAAATAGTAGACTTGTAAAGATGAGTAATTTCAGTTCTCTGGAATCATTTTTTTTTTTTTTTCAAAGATAGAAATTTTTTCAGGATTTGGTCAGATGTCGGTTCAGAATGCTAATCAGTAGAACAAACCAAAAAAGTGCATAAATTGTCCAATCCATGTGCTACAACATATATATACATAATATAATATTATGATATACTTTGGAGTATAGGAGCATTTTCAAGCCATCTGTTTCACCGATCAAGTGATCAAGTGAGAAGAAATAATATATATATATATTTATATATGACTTTCTCACCCCTCCGGTTGGTATTTTTGTGTATTCCATATTCCTCACTCTCTGGTGAGTTTTCTGAACAGTGTTCTTGGATGTCCCACCTGGGGCATGTTCATTTCATTTGGAATTCCCAATTTCAACTTTAGCGGAAAAAAAAGTTGACTGATGGAAAAAAAAGGTGGACATTTTTGAAGAAGGACACTATGTCTATTTAGTATCCAGATATAATGCTGGTCTAACTGAATCATGATTATTGTGTTAAGTGCATTCTAAATGTTGCACTATTTATGCTTTTTATTTATGTCTTCTCTGTTCTGGAAATATATCACCTTCTCCAGTAAAGATTGACATTTTAAGCATATTATATTCCACTTTATTATATCTGTGTTGTAGTTTAATCCAGGGTACCACACTGGTTGTAATCTCAGCCAGTACTGAACCCACAGAGATCACAGGGCAGGCTGACAATATTCACCGCAATGATATAGACATAACTCAGAGCAGTGTTGGGCAAAGGAATTTAAAAAAAATAAAAAAATTATATATTATTCTTAATTATATATTATTCTATGTCATCATTTTGGGAGACTGAATGTGCAAACATATCTTACCTTTTTTATGGCATTTTACAGGAGAAGCAAAATCCAACATCTGTTTTCCACACAAAGAACCTGTTGATGACAGTTCTGACCCTCTTCTTTGCTGGTACGGAAACTATAAGTACCACTCTACGGCATGGGATGTTAATCCTCCTCCACTATCCAGAAATACAAGGTATTTTATTGTGGTCATTTTAGACTTATCAAGGAGATAAATCTATTCTAACTATAAATATGGAACATCCAAGAGTACAAAACTGGAACCAATGAGTTAAAACACTCAGTATGAAATACTCAAGCTATGTATGATATACTCAATGCTTAATTGGACCATCGGGTTATGAGAATGCGTAATATAGACAAAGATTACCATCTAAAAATACATATGGCTGGGAAGCCACATACAGATACAGAGAGAAAAAGGATATATTGCATAACCTCTTAATAAACATGCATTGCTTTGTGTGTTTTGTTCAACCACTTTGCGCTCAGAATGTGTGGTAGACATGGAGAATCATGTAGAAACTGAAATTCGGATGAATTTGAGATGGTCAGGTATTTTGCAGAATTCCAAGCCAAAATATACCTAAATTACAGACTAAGTGAAATTTGAAATACCGAACATATTCTGGGGCAGTCAATATTCTACATTATGAATCAATACAAAGCAAAGAGATACACCACAGGTGAATGCACACAAATATACTTAAGTATTATAAAAATATATATAGTCCCAAAGTCCAAAAATAAAACAGCATACACGTTTTTACTCTCCCAGGCGTCTTCTTAAGTGCGGAAAAAAAGACTCCTGGGAGAGTCGAAAGCGTATGCTGTTTCATTTTTATACTTTGGGACTATATATTTTTTTACAATTGTGCATTATTTATGTTTGTTTTGCGGTCTTTTACTAATTTATTTATTAACTTTTTCCTTTCTATACTGCTTAATTTGTCCCCACTTATTTTACTCCAATAAAGTTATTTAACTTACCTAGAGTTCTTTTTCTCCATTTTTACTTGGAACAAGCTCCGTGAAGAGTACACTTCACAGTCTCTATAGACACTCCCGTATAGAGTCTGGTATGGCTCTGTACTGTGTGAGTTTTATTCCTCTGTATAAATGTTTTTATATGTAAACAGAAAGAACTATGTACTGGGAAGACCACACCTCTTGGTCCAGAATAAACCAGATCAAGGATGAAGAAAAGGGTTTTAGACATAGTAAAGGGCCCAGCCCTAGAGAACAAACTGGAAAGAATAACTGAAAACTGGAGAGGAGAAAGAATCCTGCGGAGCAAGGAAAACAGCCCCCTCCCCAAAACAGTACTACTTTATAAAAACTTGCACAAAATAATAATCAAATTTTATTAGACATCAAAAAAAGGGGGAGGGAGAGGGGAAGGAAAAAGATATTTAAAATAGTGTAAAGATCAGTGAAAGACCCCCTAGTGGGTCTAAAATGTGAAAAGAAATGACGTTGAAAAGACTGCTAGACCAACCGCTCTAATGGAGACAAGGAATTCACCATAGGAGCATATCTCATTAGTGTAAAGTATTGCTGCAGTCAGTGGAAAATAAGATCCCAAAAGAGTTGAATACAAGTCACTAACTTGCACGACTACGTAATGTTGCAATTCAGTAGCTACATAGTGTTGCTATCTGGAAAGCCACCAATACATTTTTAAATTGAGTTATTGTATTTGGGGACTAAACAATGTTGCAATTCAGTAAGCGTACAGTTACTAAACAAGCACCAAATCAACTTTAGGCAGAAGGTTCAAATCGACCTATGTAGGACAATGAAAGACGGGACTAAAATGTGAGGAAGTTCCTGGCAAATCCTCATCCCTCATATGAGACACTAGTAGGGAACCAGGGTCTCCCAAGTATGGAATATATCATCAGACTGGTTCCATGGTTCCCTTTAAACTAGGAGTCCAATAGAAAAAATAAAAAATAATAAATAAATAATAACGGAGTCCCAAAGTGTCCCACACCTCCTTTCAATGAGCTGACCAGTAATAGTCAGAAACAATTTATACAGCCCTTCTTGGCCCATTTAGTGGCAACTTAAAAGGTGTATTCAAATACGTACTTGAAAGAATTATACTCAGTTAATGAATCAATATACTAGCTGTCATATATAGGAGGGCTGATAGCCCAAACCCTGCTGCTAGAGTGGGTAAACCCCTAAAAAGTACCACCATGTAGGCTAGGGAGTAGTCCGTTCAAATTTGGAGCAAGAGTAGGGAAATCGAAAGGACAGAAGGTTATAGATGATTGAAAATAAAGTGAGGGGAGTAGTGGAGGAGAGCCATTGAGTAAATTCCTAGAGTTCAGTCCCCATGCCTGTATAAGCTAGTAGGGGAAAGTACAGCCGGCAAAAGGTCCCCCTAGCTATCAAACCACGTAAGTGTCACGTCTAGCAATCTAAAGAGGTGCAAATTAAAACGTCAGCATTAAAGCTTCAGAAGGCCGACTCGCGTTTCGGCGGTATGTCCCGCCTTTGTCTCGTCTTTTTTGATGTCTAATAAAATGTGATTATTATTTTGTGCAAGTTTTTATAAAGTGTAATACGTGTGAGGTAGTACTGGGGAGGGGGCTGTTTTCCTTGCTCTGCAGGATTCTTTCTCCTCTCCAGTTTTCAGTTATTCTTTCCAGAAAGAACGATGTACTATTGTTCTTTTATTTTTTAGATTTTTTCTGCCTGATTTGAATTTTGAACATTTATTTAGGTAGAAGCGCTATGGAATCTATTGGCACTATATAAATGGTGATAATAATAATAATAATAATATATTTGTGTGCATTCACCTGGGGTGTATCACTTTGTTTTTTATTGATTAATTTTGTAAGGTGATTAAGGGATACACATTAGATATCCATTTATTGTCTATTTTATTGGCAGCGCCTTGTTTAGTATTTTGATTCTACATTATATCTGTTTAACCAAAAAATATTGAATGATTGCTGGTAAATGGAGATCAAGTGAGCAGTGAAAAACACGAGGAGCTGTAAAAACAAATCTACATGTATATATAATAAATGTAATAAATATATAATATATAACACATGTTTACAGCTCCTCCTGTCTGTCTCCATCTGTTAGCTATTTTTTCTCACTTCATCTGTGAGCCAAATTGCAGTAAAATGCTATTTATAACATTGTATTATGTATATATTTTGCTACACATTGATTGTGTGACTTTTGTGTTCGTTCTTCAGATTCGGTTTCCAAATCTGCATTCAGCTGAGGCAACTTGATATCCGGCTGAATGTATTACCTCTTGGGGGAGGTAAATGCTGCTAATCCTGCAAATGAAATCTTGTGTTTAATTCTCAACAGAGAAGCTTCATAAAGAAATCAAAAGAGTGATTGGAGATAACCGCAGCCCAACCATTGAGCATCGGAGCCAGATGCCATATACAGATGCTGTCATCCATGAGATCCAGAGATTCGCTGATGTTATACCCATGAATGTTCCTCATTTAGTCACAAAAGACACCACATTCAGGGGCTACACTATCCCTAAGGTGAATCACAGACTGTAATCCCTTTCCTGTATGACACTAGGTCCACTAACAAGTCCATTTGATGTATTTTGCCTCATTGCACGCCTCAACAGCTTTGCTAAAGGTGACTTGTTAATAAGTTAGATATGAAATTCTATAGATTTAGATAATAAGATATAATTTAAGATATAATCTCTTATCTGTAAATTTAAGTAGTGAAATGTCAGCCAAACCCTGGGCTGAGAAAAAGTCTAGTGCCAATATTTTTTCTAAATTTGTTATCAATCATTCTGTTAGTTTGATTAAATGAGGAGAGTAAACATTGAAGACAGACATAAAATGAAACCTCTAAAAACAAACTAAAAAATTATTGTGCTGTAAATAATTTGACTTGGTTGCTGTAAAGCTATCAAATTATGTGTTTATTTTTACCTCCTACCTCTACAATAAAACACAGTGTCAACTGGCGAGATTTTTAGTTGGTGGGGCAATAGACATTGACTCTATTCTCTCTGATCATAAATATTTTCACTAGTGTCACAGCTCCTCCTAATGTATTTGTATATATTAATTCAGGGCTTTTTACATTGCATAGTAACACAACAGATATATAAACAGAACACAATGATATAATCACTAAAGAACATACAAAACATTGGGATTGTGTAAAACCAGACTAATACTTAATACTGGACACTGTAGGGAAGACAGGAAGAGTTGGACATGTGTGGACCACAGGATGAGAGTAGGGAAGAAAGGTAGAAAGTAAAGAGGTGATATGATAAATGAAAGAGGACTGAACTGAGGATCATAAAAGGTTTTTGGGAGTTTGCAAAAGATATAGGGAATGTGACTCATTACATGAAAAGGGGATAAGTTCCTACAAGGAATACAAGAGAGAATGTATTTTACAGGTCTCATTGTCTTCTCTTTGTAGGGCACAGATGTATATCCTCTTTTGTGTTCTGTTCACCGAGATCCAAAGCAATTTGCGACTCCCTTCAAATTTAATCCAAACCACTTCCTGGATGACAGTGGTCATTTTAAGAAGAATGAGGCCTTCATGCCTTTTTCTCTAGGTAAGGCTTGTAAGTCATATGTACATTGCCAAAAATAATCAACTCACCTCAAACAATGTGAAATATATCCGAATGAGAAGAAGGAATGACCAAATAGATATGAAATAACTATAAGAATGAGGACAGTGTGTGTACTAACATTGCTGTCTTTTTACATGTGATTTCAATAATAAAATGACCTGACATACATGGACATTTCATGGAATCAATCTGAATTTACCTCATATTACCCCCAAAAAAGCAACAACATGGACATGACAACTGAAAATTCTTAATAAATTTAAGGGAAAACACTAAACACATTTATATATTATTTTTTATTATATATGTATTAAATATATACATATAGATAGTCACTTCATCTGGGAGGAAAATCAACATTTTGTATTTGTCCTCTAACCATCAATCATCTCTTTTCCAGGTGGGTGATGAAAGTTGGGTGAGGTGGCTCGGTAGTAAATAAGTGCAGTCAAATGGTTCAAAGGAATATCCCCTGTATTAGGCAGGTAGATAGGTGTATTTTACACCCCTGATAATTTTAATGTCTCTTATTTATTGGGGTGAACTGACATGTTCTTTCCTATTATTTTCAGGGAAGCGGATCTGTCTGGGGGAGGGTTTAGCTCGGAGTGAGCTCTTCCTGTTCCTGACCACCATTGTACAGAACTTCAAACTGTCCTCAAAAACACAATTCACAGAGTCGGACCTCGCTCCTAAAATGAAAGGCTTTGCCAGCTACCTCATTCCGTATCAGCTCTCATTTATCCCTCATTAGATCTGGGGGCAACTGCAATCTCAAGACAGACGGTTCCCAATGGCTTTGCCACCCTGAGCTTTAAACTTGTTCACAGCACTGGGCAATGTTAAGATTAAACCGTAGGACAACCTTAAAGACCTAAACAACCTGTGTAATATCCCTGCTATTTAGTAAGGGTGCCGCTGTATATTTATCACGCATAACTGGTTATTTAAATTGTATGGTAAAGCTGGGATTCTGTGGATCATTCAGGTATTCCTGGGAAGCAATGGCTATTTTATAATCCTTTTGATAAACTGTGCTCACTGTTTAAAGTGACAAATCCAGAACTTGCAATTCATGGAAGTTAAATTATGGAATAAAACACAAGAAATCACCTAAACCTTGAGTTAAACCAATTCACTGGAGGGGGTTATAATGGAATATCAGAAAGGGACTGTTCTATATACATTTATCAAGTTGTTTTATCTTTCACAATCACTATATCTCCTTAACCGCTTCAATACCAAACACTTTTTCTTTCATTTTTAAAATATTAGAATGACCTTTGTTTGAAATAGGGGGATGTATAACTAGCACATAAACATATAACAGAAATTTGTTTGGCTGATTATTTTTCAGACAAAATAAAAATTATGTAAATTTACTCAATTGTTATCCATCATTAATTTGTTTATTGTTTAAAACTTTTTTTTTTTTTACATCTAATGAAGTATTTCATCATTCAGCTCAAACAGTATGATACAGTATATGGAGCAGTGACGGATCCAGAATCTGATCTCGGGAGGGGCACTTGTAGATTATTTAAATAAATAATCCAGACACAATAACCACTACAGCTCAGTGCAGTGGTTATGGTGCCAATAGGGCCGGGACCCCCTCCCAGAGTAAATAGTCACCGTTTAAGAACAGTTTGACAACTTACCTGAGGTCTGCTGGGAAATTGGGCTGTTAAAGGGCATAGGAGCAGTGGTGTGTGTGAGTGGTGCAATGTGTGAGGGGTGCAGTGTGTGTGTGCGCGGGGGACAGTGTGTGAGCAGTGTGTGTGTGTGAAGGTTGTAGTGTGTGAGTGAGGGCAGCAGTATATGTCAGGGGTGCAGTGTGTGTGTTAGGAGGTAGTGTATGTGTGACAGTTGCAGTGTATGGGGGCAGTGTATGTGTAGGGCAATGTGTGTATGGGGGCAGTGTATGTGTAAGGCAATGTGTGTATGGGGGGCAGTGTATGTGTGTATGGGGGGCATTGTGTGTATGGAGGAGGTGTGAAGATTATTACGATAGTATGGGAATCAAGAGAGACCACTAGATACAATAGTCAGAATAGTCTAGGAAGTGATTTGATGTTACAACAGCGAATCCAAATGTTCACATAAGCCCTGGTGGAGAGTGTGTAGGTAGTAGATCAGTGGTGGAGATACCGTTGCAACAATCACTAAACCAAACCAGAGCATGTAGCGTGAAGACAGGAAAGTGAAGGGGGGAATATTGCCTAAACAGTCACTTTTAGTAACGCAACAAAAATCATGCATATATTGTCTGTAATGAAAGTCTAAACATAATGCCTGAGATAACTAGATTCTGAACACCAGCGTACAGGGTCTAAATGAGCCATCACTGTTAAGATCCCACACGCTAAAATAGACTAAAGTTACACAAGTTTGACACTAATCTTTATAAATAGAGTGAAAAGCACTCTAGCTTAGCTGCCTGTTTTTAGATAGATCATGACAGCTCAATCTGGTAGCCTCCTGTATACATGTATTGTAAAGTAAAACAGATGAAGTATTAGCCAAAGATTTGAATCTGGAGTTGCTACCGGTAAAACCCACAGACAAACCCTAGAGGGGGGAAAAAAAAAATAATAATTTTTTTTTAAAGTTGAAATCAAAAGAAATAGTCATAATTTTGAATGGACTAAAATAAGTTTCTATCAAATCTATGCTTTGAGGGCTGAATAGCCACAACAAGAGGACATAGTCTTAAATTAGAGGGACAAAAAGGTTTAAAAATAATATCAGCAAGTATTACTTTACTGAGAGGGTAGTGGATGCATGGAATAGCCTTCCAGCTGAAGTGGTAGAGGTTAACACAGTAAAAGGAGTTTAAGCATGCGTGGGATAAGGCCAGGGACTAATGAAAGTATTTAGAAAATAGGGCAGACTAGATGGGCCGAATGGTTCTTATCTGCCATCACATACTATGTTTCTATCTGGAGAATGCATTCTGTTACCAGAGTTCTGATTAATAACTCATTAATATGCATTGAGAAACTCATCTAAGACAATTGTTTAAGACACATTTTGTTTTATGATGATGTATAAAGAGCTATTATGTTTCAAAGTACTAAAAGTAGACCTGGAGAGGTGGGAGGAGAGGGGTTGGGGGCAGAGGAACACAATGTCAGATACAGCTTTGCATTCCTAATATTGAAGTGCTCCTTGGATCCAAATCGGTCCTAAAACTGGAATTTCCAATAAGTACAGAAGAATACGGAATATGAAAGAAGCTGCCAAGGTTTATTAACCTTCAAACAATGAGCTTTATTTCATTAGTGAATCTTTACTGAATCCAACCCTTTTATTGTCCAGTAGATTGCACATGATAACTAAACACATCATTCAAAACAGATCAAGTTATCAAAAATTCGATCCAGAAAATTCGATCCCCAGACAAGCATTGAGATCCATTGTGGTCCAGCTTTGGTCAGCGCAGGCTGACAGAGATCTCATAGGGTCGTGGTGTGAAGTTGCCTCTGAAAGGTATTGGGGAGAGATCAATCTCTTCGGGCTTTATGTTGCATTTCAGATTAAACTTTTGTAGGATGTAGGTGAGGAACAAAAAGATCTCCATGCGAGCCAAACCCTCTCCAACACATATTCGCTTTCCTGGAGGAATAACAAGCAATGGGAGAACGTTCTAGGTTATAAAGTTTGTTATAGGAAAGGCAATGTCCCCAGAGTAGCCAGAAGAGTTAAATTTCCAGTTGTGGTACAAAGTATAATATTTTAAATTATATAGAGTAAATTTGCTCATTATTTTGAGTCTAAGTAATTTGAAAACACATTTTAAAGTTACCTATTGAAAATGGCATAAAAGCATCGTTCTTCTTTGCAGAACCATTTTCATTTAAGAAATGGCCTGGGTCAAACTTCTGAGCATCCGGGAAGTATTTCTCATCCTTCAGGACAGTGGTTAACATGGGGAATACAGTGGTTCCCTATAGAAAGATGACAAGATATTAGCAGCAATGCATAATAACAGCTACTATTTCAGATAGATGTAGAGTAGATGTTAATGTATTTTAGAGAATGTCTGTTTTTCAGCAACCCCTTACAATAACATTCCTCTTCCCTAATCTACCACTCCTTGAACACTAATTACATCCCATTAATTAAATGGAGCCAATTTACACCAAAAATATCTTCTTCCAACCTCAATCAATAGACTTGCATACAGTGAAAAAAATTGATTTGGCTCAAATCAATTCATCTGAAAAGAAAAATGTTCTTTTGGGTGGTCCAAAATTTGGTCATATGGGGTTTCGGACAAATTTCGTCCATGCCAATAATCCAGAAAAAAAAAAAAAAAAGAGTCTGAAAATTGGCCAGTGTACTGTAAAATATCATGTATATTTAGGTGCATTTTTCAGCCAGTTGTTTCACGAATTGAAGAAGTAGACGCAGCCAAAAAAAGGAAAAAAGATAGAGTATATAAAAAAAAAAAAAAGTTTATTTAGGTCATTACATATTAAATATTTATATATTTTTTATTTACTGCTTCTTTTTTCTCTCCCCTCTCTATTGCTCAATTCTAGCTTTATCTGGATAAGAAAAATAAAATTTAGTGACTGTCCCCCAACCACCACCAATTAACTTTTTTTCATCAATTTTTTTTTTTTGCTTTTTTGCTACCCAGGATGGAACTCCTAAATCATGAAACACACAAAACCATTGTCCATTTTATAAGTTTAGTTATAGATCAATTCAGAGTTTCGTAATTTGGACGACCCACGAATGCCCAATATTCTGATGACTAAATGTACTATACTCACACATTCCATTTACTTTCCTAATTTATATAAACAAATAAAAAACATCTTTAGAAAACTGATTAAAGTTTTTTAATCTAAAAAGGTTCTTCACCAACAATTATATAGTGAAGGAGAAAAGGTTTCTGGACCATTGGAAATAGCAACTCTTGGGTGTGCAGGGCCACTAGCAAGTGGTGGAAATTTGAGCGAGTATTGACAAAGCCATCGATGTACAATTCTTTGTATACTATACCATGACCCATTCCCCATTATTTGAGACTTCTCAAGACAAGGAGTGGGAACTCCATAATTTTATGCCATATTGGTAATTATATTTGTGCAACATTATACTGGTGTCTGGCACCCTCTGGTGTACTTGAGTGTTTTATGTGCAAAACCTTTCATGTGGAATTTGAGGGTTATTTTGAGTGTGGTCCTCTGAGTACCCTCATTCACCAGCACTTTTATTTATAAAATATTTTACCAGGAAGGATACATTGAGATTTCTCTTGTTTTCAAGTATGTCCTTGAGGCAGTATATCACCTCCTGGCCTTACACAGTTTTAGATTATTAAGAAGGCATACTGTTCTAAAATGGTTTGACTACTTACAATGGTGGGTGGGGATGCCAGGGCTCTCCTGACATCATAACTATTAAAGCACACTGTAGTAGTTATGGTGTATGCAGTATTCCTTTAAGGACTTTAATGTGACTCTCCAAAACTTCACACATATCATTCACTGTACATGGTAAGAGGTAACTATTTTTTTATTTAGTCATTTAGTGACTTGATTTTATATTTTGAATCTTTGTGTTTACTAACCTTGGGGATAGTAAATCCTCTGAGGGTTGTATCCTTTGAGGGGGCACGTAAAACCCCCAGGGGTAAGATATCTGCAAACCTCTGGATCTCATGAATCACAGCATCCAAGTATGGCATCTTTAACCGATCTGCAACAGATGGATCCTGGTCTTGCCCTATAACAGAATCCATCTCGTCTTGGAGTTTCTCTGCCAAAAAAAAATAATAAAGAAAACCAACTACAACTGTATATGGGAATAATCTTACAAATTATGTATAAATAAAAATATGATTGTATACATAAAAGATTTCCTTCGATGTGTTTTGTAAAGTAGTAAACATTTCTAGTTTGTAGGAAAGTTTATGTTATACTTGTGTGTTCAAGGGAGTGAGCATTAGTAAATGAATTAAAAGTGAATTGAAGTGGTGTACCCCAACCCTCCCATAGAGACCTTTAACTTAATACTTTCCAACATTTAATTGTCGGGTTGCGAGTTTGGCCAGGGCCAGAATTGGAGCACTTAGCGTAATTCAGGGCACAGTATTAAATGTGGAGCAATCAGCAGGTTTCCATGGTGACTGCATCACATTTAGAAATTAATTTGTGTACATCTGGCCCATTGACCTTGCAGTTTACATCATGCCTGCAGATGGGTTAGTGGCCCAGTTCTTACTCTGTATCTCTGGATGTTTCAGGAGAATGAGGATTGCATATCTCAGGGTTGTGCTGGTGGTCTCTGTCCCTGCAAAGAATAGCTGAAGCAGGTTAACCCACAGGTTCTCATAGTTGAACTCGGAATTAGAATTATCTTTCTCCTGAGGAATAAAAAGATAGAAATTTGAAAGAAGTACTAGTAATGTGCTTCAACATGCATTGCGTGGTGGAATGGGAGAACATTGTGATGTAGTGGATTTTATAGATAGACTATCCATACACTCTTCGGAATGATGGCAACTAGAGACATCTCTTCATGAAGAATTTGAAAATGTTAATTATCTTAATACTTCTGATATGATAACTGCTCTCAGCCAATGAGCTAACACAGCTTCTGCTGAAGGAGATTGTAGTAAAGGAAGGGAGTGGTCTTCAGGTAAGCAAACTATTCAAAAAAGAGAGTTGCCAGCAGAGGCGTGCCCACTGGCTATGCCTGTTGTGCCTAGGCACACCCTAATCCCCGCGGCACACATATTGATTGAGACCGGCGGGGGTGATCTCAGGATCTCCCCTGTCGGCTCATGCAGGGCACGCGCTATCTGAGCACCGGCTCTGCTCTAAGCCTCCATGGGCCAGTGGGGAGATCAAATTGCCCACAGCAGCATGGAGGGAGGCAGGAGAGGACCTGGGGAGCTCTAGCCAGCAGCTGCGCCGGGTTCCTCTCACGAGATCTGAGCGTTGCCATGGCAACGCTCAGATCTCGCAAGTGTGAACTCTAGCCCCGCAGGCTTTAGTTCACTCTCCACTGGACCACTAGGGATGGCACATGGCAACAAGGATTCCCCCTCCCTACATAAGGTAAGAAGGGAGGGGGGGGGATATTTACTAATCTGCCCCCACCTCCACCCCCACAATCCCTCCAAACATACAGCATACAAACACACACATACAGCAACCTCACACACAGTACAATAACAGCACCCTCACAAACAGTACACAAACAGCACCCTCACATCCCACAAACAGCACCCTCACACAGTGTATGTATGTGTGTATATATATATATATATATATATATATATATATATACACACACACACACACACACACACACACACACAAGCGGCGTGTGTATAGGCTGTGCACGCCTATGGTTGCCAGGGAAATCCTAGTACCATTTCTACATCTGCAAGCTGTAGTGGTTATGGTGTCTGCAGTGTTCCTTTAATTACCTCTTCACCGGCTACTCTATAGCTCCCACTTTGGCTGTGCCCGCAATCCCTATTTATTTTAGGTTTTAGTAAAGCTGGACAACATTATTCCTACTCATACCTCCTTCATCTTTGTGATAAAGCAATCAATATAATCTCTGGGGCAGTTTTCATCCAAGGTCTCCTCATGAGTTTTCACCTTCTCCATTACATATTCTCGAAATGTATTCACATTACTAAACAGTTTATGGTGAGAGCCTGGAAAGTGCTTGAAGATGCTGGGGGCCAAGTTGAAGACCTGAGTAACAGATTATTTGATTAATAAAATGTTTTGAGTTGGACACAACAGGCAGAGTTAAAAACCCTTTACTTACCTTTTTCCCAGCGCTGATGTCCCCCTAAGCTGGGTCGTGACTCCGCCTTCACCTCTGATGAGCCTGCGCTAATGTGCATGCACTGCATTAAAACAATGCTTTTCTAAGGTGAAAATTCAGATGCTGGATGTCCTCATGCAGAGCGTGAGGACTTACAGCATCGGATACCGGACCATAGGTCTGCTTGGATGCAGGAAGTGCCTCCAGTGAAAGACAGTCACTGGAGGCAGACTTAGTGCTGCATTGTAAACATTGCGGTTTCTCTGGAACTACAATGTTTTACATTGCATCACTATGTAAAATAGGGACACAGCACCCAGACCACTTCAATGAATTGAAGTGGTCTGGGTGCCTACATTGTCCCTTTAACCCCTTAAGGACATGTCATGATTCCCTTTTATTCCAGAAGTTTGGTCCTTAAGGGGTTAAGGACTTCATAAACTTAATAGTCTATTTGCTGCAGATAATTATACACCTGCTTCCTGGTGTATTTGACTGGTCAATCTACTGTATAGAATCTAGACATTAGACCTTCTAAAAAGTAGCACATGCTTTAACTTGGACAAGTACAAAAGACCAAAGGAACTTTTCTGATGTTACAGCAAATAATGTATTTAAACCGAGGTCAGAAATGTTAGGGACCAAGAACCCTTTTGGATCTTTCTGCACATTGTGTACTATATAATAACCATATTAAAACAGCGAATCATAATTATAGGAACGATGTGACAGCAATCAATTGACAAACAACACACATTTTCACAGATAAAAGATGTAAAGAGATTATATTGTATGTTTCTTTACCCATATCATGGGGAAGGCACTTAATAGAGTGATAGTGATTAAACATTACGTAGAATGATTTAGTGCCTAGGTCTGTATTACATTGTCTACTTATTTGTGTGTGGGATGGGGGTGGAGGGGTGGTCCTTGAAAGGTTAATTGATATTCAGCACATATTACTTGTATTTTGTTTAGATAATATGGTTGTTTTCACATTTTAACAGAGTGGACACCTGTATGAGAGCAATATGGTTTGCAGATGGGCCGGCCTAACTCAGACTTGAGTGATGTTTGTCAGTCTCTGCTTGTCAGGATTACAGAATGATCTAGCACATAGAATTGTGTAACACAGAGGACTGAAAGGTAACGTTTACTGGACCTTAGAATGGCCGGACTAACGTGCCAAAGAATAGTCAGGAATAGCCGAGGTCAAGGGATACAGAAAGAGACACAACGATAAGGAAAAGCCAGGGGTCGGGGATGCCAGAAAACAGGGAAGTCAAAAACTATGCCAAAGTCAAATAACCAGAATATCCAGAATCAATAACGCGCTCTCGGACAACCACAAAGGATCTGATTGGTTGTAATCGGCCTTTGACCCCAAAGGCAGTTACCAGGTTCCTATTTGCATGATTGCTGCTCAGCACAAACCCTCCTGTGAATTGATTGCTGGTCTGCACAACCTTTCCTGTCAGGACAGTAAATGCCATTAATCACATTTTTATGAGCAGATGAATACGTGACACTGCTATCACTAGACAAAAACTAACCTCATTTATTTTACCTTTATCGCAATAATAGTATTTATTGTAATGTTTGTACGTGTTCTTTTTTGAGTAACTGTTCTTTTGTAATTTCATTCCTTTTTTACATTTTTTAATATTGTCAATATATTAGGTATGTTCTGCCATAGGAATGAATGAGTCAGCTGGTGGTGGTGGTGGCCATTAGTCCCTTATTCACACGGAGCAAGTGTGATTCTTCTATCTCCCTTTAGGAATCCATGTTGGCCATACGTTTGGTTTCCATATCAGTGGCTTGTTCTTCGGCATTACCTAAGGGTATTTAAACAGGAAGTGCAGGCTTCGCTACAAAATAGAAAGCCTTGTTTGGTGAAACCAGTCAGAGCAGAAGTTGTTCTCTCTTGTGAACCATCGCTATTGGAAAAGTACTCCATCTGCTGGCTGGCTGGACATTAGTCTTAGTGACTGCCCTCCAGCAATATTTGTTTGAAAGTGCCATATGTATGTATAATTATTTTTGCATGTACAATCAACACTATGATTATTTTATAGCCTATTAAAGTTTTTGAAGATTATTGTATACTCGAGTGATTCCTAGCTTTAGGAGGCTTGAAAAAGCCCTTTTAGTCGAAACATTGCTGCTGGACACTGTAGTTAAGCCTTGGAGTGTCTGGACCTTTTCCTTTCTATAGTTATTATATCAACATAGCAATCTCAGTAACCCACCACTGGTTATTGTTTTATGTGTGTATTACACAGGTTGTTACAGAAAGCCTTAGGTGGAGGTGTATTGAAGTATTTTCCACTCAATAATGTGCGTTTTTTAAAAACTAACCTGACCCCAAGGTGAAGCCAAAATCTGGAATGTCTCCTTCATCAATGCCAGCATAGCTAGGAATTCCTTGTCTTCATACTCAAATCGAGCCCCAAAAACAATTGAACATATAACATTGGACACAGCTAGACTCAAAAGGTAAGTGGGATCAAATAGTTCTCCTATGGGAAAAAGTGAAGTAAAATATATTGATGTAGAAATAGGAGTGGCCAAGATTTTTACGAAAATAAGTTATCAAGAGGAGGAAACACATTGAACAGTTAATTTGAAAGAAAAAGAGATTTTATATATATATATACACACACACACACACACACACACACACACACACACGCACATATATACGCTGTTCAAAAAAATAAAGGGAACACTTAAACAACACAATGTAACTCCAAGTCAATCACACTTCTGTGAAATCAAACTGTCCACTTAGGAAGCAACACTGAGTGACAATCAATTTCACATGCTGTTGTGCAAATGGGATAGACAACAGGTGGAAATTATAGGCAATTAGCAAGACACCCCCAATAAAGGAGTGGTTCTGCAGTTCCTAGGGAGGGAGGTCATACAGGCTACACACACTACTGAGCCTCATTTTGACTTGTTTTAAGGACATTACATCAAAGTTGGATCAGCCTGTAATGTGTTTTTCCACTTTAGTGTGACTCCAAATCCAGACCTCCATGGGTTGAAAAATTTGATTTCCATTTTTAATTTTTGTGTGATTTTGTTGTCAGCACATTCAACTATGTAAAGAACAAAGTATTTCAGAAGAATATTTAATTCATTCAGATCTAGGATGTGTTATTTTTGTGTTCCCTTTATTTTTTTGAGCAGTGTTATCTCTCTCTCTCTCTCTCATGTTTGTTAACCAAGATGAAAAAAAAAAAAAAAAACACACCACACAAAAGATACGAAATGAAATTTTTTGTGCAAAACATCAAGAAAATGTGTCCATTAATCATCCATTCCATCCTACTAAGAATACAACTAGCCAAGCTTGTATGTATTCTAAATGAAATATCATTTCAATAATTTCAGACCTTTCTTCTTTTGGAGTTCTTCCCCCAGACATTTTGCTTCTTCTTGTACTCTTTCTTCTAAGCTCCTTTTCCCCATTCCAAAATTTCTCAGGGTGCTGAGCGAAAACCGTCTCATCTGCTTCCAGCGTTCTCCATTACTGAAGACGATCCCTGTAAGTTTGGGAGATTCAGCAATTGTGTCCATCATTCTATATTTATCCGAATAGTTATCTTAATTAAATTATACAGACATTATTGAAGTTTTTAAAATAGACAATTTTTTTTTTTACATTTCTATTAAAATGTAAAAACCATTGCAAGATAGCATGTTTTATTTTTGTGTCGTGCACAAAATTGATTAAAACCTACTCTGTTCTTCAAGCTATACGTTATAGCCAACATCAACTAGGCTAAATATATGCCTAGTGTACATTCTGCCAGTAAAAATGCCGCCAAATCTATTGATTAAAATGCTATACTTATCTGGACATCACGTACCTCCATGATAGGAGCCCAAAATAGATACACACATCTCTACATGAAGTATTGTAGCGGAGTGCTAGTCCTGAACAGGACTCTCCTCCACTGGATCTGTGAAGACAGGAACTCTGGAACTAGGCAAAATGAAGTGAATAGCTCTATCCCTTGCCAGTAACTGGTCGACACACAGTTCTAATGGAGTCAAAACTGAATCTGCTACAGTCATGAAGTAACGCATCCCACGATGCAAGTTTGTTAATAGGACAGATACAACAGGCCGTGGTCCCAACTTACCATATCCCCTAAAAGCCATGTCAGGAAATGCAAGATGTCCTCGATCACTGTATACTTCACCATTGTCTACAAAAGCTTCTCTCACCACATCATGACCATTTAATAGGACCACTGGTTGCCGTCCCATATATATCATGGATACCGGACCATATTTAGAGCCAATCTAAAACAGGAGATAGAGAAGGGGCTGTGTGCTTATGCTTGGACAAAATGGAAAAGAAATGTTCAATGAAAACAGAAGGGCACAGCTTCACCCCATATTTCTGCTTTCAAATTGGTTTCAGATTCCTGAAGACTTCTGGCAGACACTTTGGGGTTTTACTAAGCAAAAACAGGTTTCATAGTCTCTTCTAGTAGGGTTCACCACAAAGACATCTACTCCTGTTTGAAACTTGGTCAAATCAATACTAAAATGGTTGGTACAATTACAATATTACTCAATATAACTATCCCTATAACTTTTCCCTGTAGCACCTCATATCTCTACATACAACCTCTCTATATAACCCCTCCTATTACTCCATATAACCCTCCATATAACCCTCCCTATAACCCCTCCTATTACTCCATATAACCCTCCCTATAACTCCTCCTATTACTCCATATAACCCTCCCTATAACTCCCCTATTACTCCATATTATAACTCCATATAACCCTCCCTATAACTCCTCCTATTACTCCATGTAACCCTCCCTATAACTCCTCCTATTACTCCCTATAACCCTCCCTATAACTCCTCCTATTACTCCATATAACCTCCCTATAACCCCTCCTATTACTCCATATAACCATCCATATAACCCCTCCTTTTACTCCATATAACCCTCCCTATAACCCCTCCTATTACTCCATATAACCCTCCCTATATCCCCTCCTTTGCAATGGAAATATATGTAGTGTTGCCATTTTTCCTGGACAGTTATTAATGTTACACGACGGAAACAAATTCAGTGTAATTTTTAAGAGATTTTCTGCAATTGAAATCAAACATTTTTACTGTTGATGTATAGATTATTAATATATTACCTTTAGTGGTATTTTAGAGAATAATGTGAAACAATACAGATTTACACTCAGAATGACTAACTTTCCAAATCTGCACATGTATATAAAGCAGTCAGATAGTTTGTGACCAGTTAACCTTTCGAGTGCCAGACAGGGGAGAGCATTGGGTCCTGTACACATACACTGATTTAACAATCTGAATTAATCCTTAAATTTTCAGTCTCCCTGAAAAGACAATCCCATGAGAAATCTACTGACCTTCACAAAATCTTTCACGAAATCCTTAAAATTCAGCTGCAGGATGTTCCCAATCAGAGGCAGAGGCGTGGGTCCCGGGGGCAGATTGGAGGGTTTTCGGCTACGGGTAAAAATCAGTATCAAGAAAGTGACAGTACAGACGAGGAGCAAAGACACAGCGAGCTCCATGGCCGTTCAGTAAACAATAGGACCATAGACTTTGTCTTGTAAACAACTCTGAATGTGTCAGCATTTATTGCCCAGCTCTCTGGCACTTAGACAGGGTTATTAACTAAACTCCAATTTCAAAATGTAGACCCAAATATGAAGCATAGTTTGTTTGCAGAATTTTTCCATTTCAGCTACTCTGGCCTTAAATATCCACTCATGATTGGCTTTCAGGCTGAGCTGGTAACTCCCCTCACAGAAAATTACTCAGCCCTTATGGTCCTTCTTCTCTAGGGGTTTATTTACTAAACAGTGAACGGCCGTGGGTAATAAAATGTATTTAAAACTTGCAGGAACATTCCAAGCACCATAACCACTACTTCTGTTAGCTTCGAGTTATGCCTTAGCTCACTGACTGAGAGCATCAGCTGATGTGTACAAACTCACACAGTGCTGGGCTAGCAAGGTCATGCACAATTCCTGCCCATGGTCTCACTCCTGCAGTACTCCCTCAACAGACATGCCAATGCACCTTCTGCAGTCATAATCCACAAAAGAATGTCATGTGAGGCTGCAGTGTTAATAGCAGTGAGACAGTCTAACAATAGTGATTGATTGGCCTCCAGGCTGTCTCATCTCCCTGGGAGACAATGAAAGTAATCAGTTGCTAAAGTCTGCGCTTTCTAAGGAGGGTTGGGGTTAGATGGGGTAAGAAATTATCACAATCTGTTTAAAACCCCTTTTAAATGATTTATCTACAAAAAGACCCATAGACTTTATTGGTGACAACTGAAAATATAGAACAAATCTTTCTAAAAGACTCAAAATGCCCCAGGTTAAATAGCCAAAGTTGTCGTCTATTTCAAGTGCGATGCCATGATGGTAGCACAGTACAGCTGTGGGTTGGTTCTCAAAAGCCGGGAAAATATATTTTATGTGAAGCATTGTTGTGTGAGGTCTTTAATCCCTTAAGGACACGTGACATGTGTGACATGTCATGATTCCCTTTTATTCCAGAAGTTTGGTCCTTAAGGGGTTAAAGTAGCGGTATGCGCATTGCCTGTGTAAGTAAAAAATGAAAATAAGGCATTTATGAAAAACACAAACTATACTATAACAGAAAATCTGGGAGAGGATGGTGATAAAATGGTTAATGCAGGGCCGGCGCTTCCTATAGGCGACCTAGACCCCTCAAATGCTGCAGCCGACCTGAGTGCTCTATATATAGCCTGGTCCGGAGTGTCCATGAGGGCGCGCCGGCCCTGACGTGCAAGAAAAGAGTGATCGTCATGAGGGAAGCGCACAGCGCTCCCTCCTGCCAGTCCCTCAGTGTAGCGTGGCAGGGCTCTGGTCCGCGGTACAGGAACATCTGTTTCCTGTACCCTGCCGGACTGGAACGGTCCAGCCAGTACAGGAAACAAAAGCTCCTGTACCGCGGACCAGACCGGAGCTCAGCCATGCTACAACAGAGGTGGAGGGGGGTGAGCAGAATCGGGGGCGGGAGGAGAGACCACTGAGGAGGGGGTGGGGGGGGAGACCTCTATGGGAGAGGGGTGAGGTGAGACCACTAAGGGAGAGAGGGGAGCAGGGGGAGAAGAGACCACTAAGGGTGGGGGTGAGGAGAGACCACTAGGGAGGGGGTTGAGGAGAGACCACTAGGGGTGGAAGGTGAGGAGAGACCACTAAGAGAGGGAGGGGGCTGGAGGAGAGACCTCTATAGGAGAGGGGTGAGACCACTAAGGGAGGGAGGGGAGCAGAGGGTAAGGAGAGACCACTAAGGGTGGGGGTGAAGAGAGGCCACTAGAGGAGGGGGGTTGAGGAGAGAACACTAGGGGTGGAAGGTGAGGAGAGACCACTAAGGGAGGTATGGGGGTGGAGGAGAGACCACTATGGGAGGGAGGGGGAGGAGGAGAGACCACTAGGGTAGAGGTGGGGTGTAAGGAGAGAAAACTAAGGGAGGGAGGGGGTGGAGGAGAGACAACTAGGGAGGTGGAGGAGAGACCACTAAGGGTGGGGGTGGGTTCAGGAGAGACCACTCAAGAGTGGGGTGGGGGTGAGGGAGAGACCACTAGGGAGTGGGGTGAGGAGAGACCACTAAGGGTGGGGTTGAGGAGAGACAACTAAAGGAGAGAGGGAATGGAGGAGAGACCACCAGGGTAAGGGTGGGGGTGAGGAGAGACCACTAAAGGAGGGAGGGGGTGGAGGAGAGACCACTAGGGGAGGGGGAGTGAGAAGAATCCACTAAGGGTGAGGGGAGAGACCACTAAGGGTGGGGGGGAGGAGACATAACGAGGGGGGAGAGGAGAGACCACTAGGGGAAGAAGGGGGGGAGAGGAAAGACCACTAATTGAAAGGGGTGAGGATGGGAGAAACCACTAATGGAAAGGGGGGAGAGGAGAGATGACTAATGGAAAGGAGGTGAGGAGAGACCACTAAAGGAAAGGTGGGGAGAAGAGACGAGTACACTAAAGGAAGCCGGGGAGGAGAGTAGAGACCACAGTGGAGGAGAGACCAATAATGGGGTGAAGGAGTGGAGAGACCACTAAGCGACAGGGGAGAGAGACCACTAAGGGGCAGGGGGGCGCTCTATGGGACGCAAGGGAGAGCTGTAAAGGACAGGGGGCAGGGGAGAGCTCTAGGGGGCTAGGAGAGAGCACTAAGGGATGGGATGGTAGGAGAGCACTACGGGAAAGGGGAGATCACTAAGGGTCAGGGGAGTTCACTAAGGGACAGTGGGGTAGAGTAGAGTACTAAGGGACAGGAGGGTAGAGCTCTAAGGGACAGGAGGGAAGAGCAGTAAGGGACAAGAGGGGAGAGAGGCAGAAGAAGGGGGATAAGAGATGCACAAAGGGGCTGGTAGGACTCAGACCCTATCCTACCCCACAAACGCTCTCTTTCACACTACACACAATACATCCCTGCACACACAGAAACGCACCATGCTTCCCTTACACACAGAGAAACACACAATGCATCCATTACACACACACACACACACACACACACACACAATGCATCTCTTGCACACATACCCAGAAACACACAATGCATCCCTTACACACACAAACACACACTGCTTCTCTTACACACACTCAATGAACCTCTTACACACACTCAATGCACCTATAACACAAATGCAATGCAACCCTTACAGACACACACACTGCATCCATTACATAGACAGAAATACACCTTACATCCCTTACACATACAAACACAGATTCACACAATGCATCCCTTAAACACAACCAGAAACACTTAATACATCCCTTATACACAAACACACACTGCTTTCTATCCCTTACACAAAAACACACTGCATCTCCTACATAAACTGGTACCCCAATACGCTACATTCCATAAGCACATGCATATTATGCTCCCTGTGAGCAAACTCATGGGTGGGTGGAACATGTAGGTGGACTTAGAAGTGGGCCTTGTGGGCATACTCACCGTCAGGCCCTGGGGCCCAGACCTTGAGCTGTGCAAAGGACCCCCAAAAAATGGAGCTGCTTCACGTTTCCCCAGAACATTGACTTTTGTGACCACAGTGGCAAACAGCCTCCAGAGAGCATGTTCTACACCAGACCAGACTGCAGCCAGAGCCCATCATCATCCTCATCTGGTTGTAAGTAGGTAATCTAGTATATTATTTGTGGCACTAATCTCACATTAAAGGGACACAGCTTAATGTAGTGGTTCTGGTGTCTATAGCCTGTCCCCAGTGACGTACATACCATGGTCGCAGGGGTCGCAGCTGCTATTGGGCCCATCACTACAAGGGGCCCGGATGCCCTGCAGACCCCCGCTACCGGGTAACAGTTGCCACGTTTTGCCGCGTGGGCCAGGGCCTCTGTCCAAGGGGTCCATTGGGAGGCCCATGCTGTTAGGGCCACCCGATGGATATGGACTGTCAAGGGGCCCGGTCAGCGCTGGGCGCTTTAACAGAGCGACCGGGCACCCTGTGATTACATCACAAGCTGGGACGAAGTGACTCCCTGTGCAGGCTAATTTTTCTTTTGCCTAGGGCGACAAAAATCCTTGCACCGGCCCTAGGTTAATGAAAAGGGCCAAAATGCTCTTAGTTACGGGAGGGGTGGTCTAGTTTCTTTACTATAGTTTCACCAGACCAAGTTTATCTTTAAAACCATAATTCACTCCTTGAAATATTTGTCATAATATGTAATTTCCAAAATATAACTAAAATCCTGGAGTTTATCAGGTTTGATAAAATATATATTTTTTTTCTTTTCAGCTTTTTAATATTTCATTTATATGTAATGTGATTCTATGCATTCATATGAAATTTTAAAAGAAAGTCCTATTGTTCTCCTTTATAACCTCCGATCCAGTACCAGCACTAAATACAAAAAGAAAGCGGCCCGATTCTCCGACAGAGCGCCACAAGTGTGGAACGACCTCCCGCTCACTTTAAAATCTTCCCTAAGCCTAAAGTCCTTTAAGACATCCCTCTCTACATACCTCTAAACAGAATGCACCTGTCATGGGTGATTATATATTTCCTACCTGTTCTATGTTACATTTTGTATATATTGTGTATTAATACTGTACCCTATTGTATCAATGTGATGTTTTGTGGACCCAGGACATACTTGAAAACGAGAGAAATCTCAATGTATCTTTCCTGGTAGAATATTTTATAGATAAATAAATAATAAAATCAAACTATAATATGCATGGTTGATTTTAAGAGAAATTGGTAAATTGTGTTTGAAATGATAAAAATGCCTCCGTCAAAAGTCATGTAATTTTGGAAAAGGCACAGTCATAAGGAAGTTAAAGGAACACTTCAAACACTATAACCACTTAAGGGCACTGTATAGGCTATGATGCACGGTGTGCCTTGGCTTCCTCCCAATGTAAGTAGTCAAACTGTTTAATTTTTGGAGGGTCTGCCAGGTGCCAGTCTCAGCTGCCATGGATAATCAAGGTCCTGGGGAGATAGCGCAGCTAAGCGGACAAGGGCACATGTATGAGCGTGTGGATAGATGCATGTGATT